GAAAAAATGAAAAGAAAGCAGCGGAAATGTTGTGGGCATATTATTTGGACGAGCTCCTAAAGCACACACGTGCTGAATGCTGGTGCCAGCAGAGCAACAGCACTCTTTTGCCTTTGTGCCATAACTGCATATTTTGTCCACAGTGGAACTCACCACAAGTTTCTGTTGCCTGTAGTCGGTTATTTCTGGTGGGCTCTCGTGCACCCCAGTTTGTGGCCAAGACGACAGCACAGAGAGCTGCGATGCCACCTCACGGTGTCGAAACAGGAATGTGGCAACTTGCTTTGATGGTTCGTGTGGTGCAACGTTGTCTTCAAGAGCATATGATGCACTGAGAGGGAGTGCTTGCACATTTGACACGGTGAGCTCAGATGTGGGACAATGGATTTTTGCCACCCCCACAAGCCCAACTGGTTGACAGCTATGTTTGTGAAATACTGGTGTATATTATTGAAACACTGGCGTACAGTATGCACTGTATACTGATTGGAGTTGGTGCACGTTGAGCACCTGGGACTCATTTGTCTGGATCTAAACTTGGGATCTGTTTTCGTCTCTTCTTTTTCTTGACTTTCTTTTGTCAGAGGCACCCGGGCTCACTGGACGTGAAGCCGAACAAACATTGTGAGCAAATATTGGGAAATCGAACGAACACAAGTGCTTGGAACCCTTGCCTGGCGTGCCAGTCTGGTGAAAAGACTTTTGCTTTGTCATGTGACCAATGTTGTCAAAACGGAGATTGGATAGGTTACTGCATTTGCTTCGATTACTTCAGGAGACGCTCACAAAAGTGCTGTATCTGTGAATAGTAACAGATCAATGGCAAGCACGAACTCAGGCCTCCTGTAAACCCATTCCGTCCAGCGATGGAGAAATTAAGATGCCTGAACCATGGTAAAGAGGCACAGTCAAACCAGCAGCGAAGGGGTGGGTAGGTGGGTGGGTGGGTGGGTGGGTGCGGGGCACAGCGGCATAGTGTGAATATGAATCTGCAATTACTTGGTGCTTTCTGTGACGCATTGTGATACCTTGATTTGACAGCGCTATTAACCTGAAAGCTCCATCCTGATGTGTGTGTGTGTGTGTGTGTCTCTGTGCATGCACGCATTCTTGTCCAACAGCCATCTCAACTGGTCAACTGTAATGGCACTGTTGCTGTTGATCGACCAACCTTCAACCTGGTGAACAATGGTGTCTGCGTGCCATTTTGCAAGCCCCCACGACTGACCTGTCAGTTTGCAGCTCGCTTTGGGGCCCCATTGGCTCTCCTTGGTGGTTCTGCAGTGAATACAACCAGAAGACGGCAGCTATCCCAAAGTAAGGTGGTGTTTCACTCAGTCAGCTGCAGTAAACAGAAACCTCGTCCAACTGCCTGCGATGGATTTTGGAGCGAAAATAGGACAAATGATTCTGTATGGCTTGAATGGCAAGAAATGCGTTCCATGAGTTTTAGCTCGGACGTGCATGAAAGTGGTTGGATTCCTTTCCGACTGCTTTTTAGGTGCTCTGTTTGTCTTGGTGTTCAGTGAATGCTGAAACTTGGTCTGTCTTGGGCTTCCTTTCAGTGCGCACGATCTTGCACAGTTACACCAGTGCCTGTTGTTCGTTGCCCGAAATTTTACAAGCTGTTGCTTTTTGATGAGCACACACAGCATATGGATTCCACTGTTGCATGGCCAGGTATTGTGAGCGAAGACCAAGGAATGGTCTCTTGATCTGGTTCATTCTCTGCCACGATTTTTGATAAACCGTACTGAAGAGCGTGTGTGTGTTTCCAGGGACCTGCCCAGATGGTTCCAGGCCGCAACTTTTCAAGTGTGGCTGTGACACAGTGTCTGCTCGGGAGCTTCGACTTGTGGAACAGGTATTGTCACTGTCGAGGATCGAAAAGCTGATGGATCAAGCGAATCCACTCTCTCCTGTCCAAACCCTGATGGAGAGCTTCACAGGTTCAATCCCAAATATCTTGCTGTTGTACTTCCTGATTGTCGCCTTCAACTGCATGGATATTGTTTTGTTCCCTAAAGGCACGCATAATGAAGTGATTGCAGTGCTGCAGTGAAGTCAACACTGTTGTGGCTTTGTCCTGTGTGCCCTCCATCTACACGTGGTTGAGCTGCTCGTTTCTTTGTCCATTTCTGTGTAACACTCTGATGGCTGCCTGTCGGGCTGCTTTGCAGGTAGCTGGTGAGGGGCACTTGAGCTGCCAGCCTGTGTGCGGTGATGCTCTGGATACGGGCTGTCAGAACAGCTGCGACAACTTTGTTTGTGTGCTGGATGGGTGCGGAACATGGGTGTCAAGAACAGCTGTGGAGAATGTCAGATCATCGACGTGTCGTTTTGTGCAGGTGCGTGGCTCCCTGCCTTGTGATGTGCCAGGCATCTTTGCTCTCTGACTTAACCACTGTTCTTTTCTCTTTGAGTACTGTGTGTCTTCAGTGAGAGGGAGGGGCCCTGCAAACAATGCTGAGTGGATCTATTTGCTATGGACAATCAACCTGCGAACTGGCCTCCAGCTTACAGTATGTGGACTAATTCTGCTGAAAATGGGGTAGTTATGAATAAGTTGTATGCTACTGAAGTGTATGCCACGGCAACTCGGAGCAATCCCTGCAAACGTGTGCTTGATTCTACAATGCTTGGTGTCTTGTGTGCCATGCAGTATGCCAGCATGTTCGAATGTGGCGAGGGCACCACGAGGGTGGTGGCAGACCAGCAGACTGTCAGAGCAATATATGCAGGGGCATGTGCGCCGGCCTGTGGGCTGGTGCAGCAAGACCTCTCCTGTTCCTTTGTTGCTCGTTTTGGCCCTTCCTTCTTCATGCGAAACTCTGAACTGGCCCCTGGGCCGGCCCCGACGCCAGCAGCTGCACAGGCCCCTGAAACATCGATATTGACTCCGAATGCATCCAGCCCTGCGGACGCGGCTACGGCTGCAGATGTACCCATGCCTTCATCAGTACCAGAACCAAGCCAAGTCAGCACAGCGCCTGCACCAGTGCCAGCCGGGACAAAAGAGCCTGGGCCTGCAGCAGAGCCAGTCCAAGCCCCTGCTGCTCTGATGCCAGCTCCAGTGCCCAATTTGTCAGGTCCTGCCACTGCGCCTGTGCCTGGGACTGCTGCTGAGCTGGCAGCCAGAGCACCAGAGTCGACCCCAGCTGTTGCACCAAACCCAGACAGCGCGCCAGTGTCAGCTCCGACGACTGAACCCGCACTGGCCCCGGTCAGCACATCTGAAGCACCTGCAAAGGTGCCATCGCCGATCAATGCCAAGGGCACAGCTCTCAACGTTGAATCTGAGGCAGAAGCCCCAGTTCCGAGCAGTGGCTCTGCACCAGTCGCAGACGATGCACCAGCCCCAGTCAGCGCACCTGAGGCACTTGCAAAGGTACCAGTGCCAAGCACTGCAGTGGGGCCAGCCCCAAACACTGTGTCTGAGGCACTGGTGCCAGTTCCCAGCAGCGGGTCTGCACCAAGCCCAGCCAAGGACCCAGCCCCTGCAACTGGACCTGCATTGGTGCCAATGTCAAGTGCTGCAGTAGCGCCAGGCCCGAACAATGTATCTGAGGCGCCAGCCCCAATTCCGAGCAGCATTACTGCACCTGTCCCAGACAAGGCACTGGCTCCAGCAACTGGACCTGCAGCATCTCCAGTCAGCACAGTCAGGGCACCTGCAAGGGCACCAATGCTCAGCGATGCAGAGGGGCCAGCCCCAAACAATGCGTCTGAGGCACTGGCACCAGTTCCGAGCAGTGAGGCTGCACCGATCCCAGGCCAGGCACCCGCTCCAGCAACTGTACCTGCATCTTCTCTGGTCAGCACACTTGGAGCACCTGCGAAAGCACCATCACCGATCGATGCCCTGGGGCCGGCCCCAAACAATGCATCTGAACCGCCGACAACATTGATTAGCGATGCGGAAGCACGAGCTCGAAGTAATGCAACTGATGCACCATCGACATTGCCAGTAGGTGCGATGGGACCAGCTTTGAGCGATGTGCCTGAGGCACCTGCACCAGTTCCGAGCAGTATTGCTGCACCTGTCCCAGCCAAGGCACCAGCACCATCAACTGGACCTGCGTTGTCTCCCGCCAGTGCACCTGGAGGTCCTGCAATGACCCCAGTGCTCAGCGATGGGGTGGGGCTCGCCCCGAGCAATGCATCTGAGGCACCATCACCCATGGATGCAGTGGGTCCAGCCCCAAACAATGCATCCAAGGCACCGGCGCCACTGCCAATCGATGTGGTGGGAGCAGCCCCCAACAATGCATCCAAGGCACCAGCGCCAGTTCCGAGCAGCAGTTTCGCACCAGTCCCTGCCAAGGCACCAGCTCCAGCAACTGGACCTGCATTGTCTCCAGTCGTTGCAAAGGCCCCAGCACCAAGAAATGCCTCAGTGCCAGCCCCCGACAATGTATCTGAGGCACCAGCCCCAATTCCAGGCAGCGCTTCTGCACCGTTCCCAGTCGAGGCACCTGCTCCAGCACCGGAGCCAGTTCTCGTCAATCCGCCTGCGCCTGCTCCAGTGCCCCCCCCATCCGTCCCTGGGCCTGCTCCAGAGCCCTTTGCTGGGCCATCCTCAGAGCCAGCTGCAGAGCCGGCGCCTGCACCAGAGCCAATGGTAACTGCAGTGAAGCCTGAAGCTGTTGTCATTCCTCCCGGCGGCTTTTTCAAGGCCAAGCCTGAGACTTACCTGGGACCCTGGCGGATGTGCAGCCAAGTGTGCAGACAGGCGGGACCAGCAACGAGGGTGCGTGTCGCAGAGCACGCATTTGAAAACTGGCTCTGATCTGTTGGATGTTTCAATTGTACTTGACCACAGCTGCAGCATGGCCGACCCCTGAGGGGGCCGATGCTTGGTGGTTGGCTTGCAAATGAATTGAGCTCGTTTCTGTGCCTATTGAAAATGCACATGCCGTTTGCCCAACAAGATGGGCTTATTACTCCAGTGTGGATGAATTGGGAACTTACTGATTTTTGGACTTTCTGGATATTCGCAGGAGCGCTCGGTGCTCTGTCGCAGCCGTGCAGGAACTCCGACAGTGTCTTCTGACTGTCCTGAGGAGAACATCTCTGCTGAAGAAACTTGTGAGGCTGAAGTCTGTCGCGGACGATACCACCTCCGGCTGAGCGAATGGTCTGACTGCTCTGACAACTGCGCTGCAGTGGATGATGCTACAGGCATGTTCAGTTGTGCAACGAGCCTGTGAATACAGAAAAAACTTCGACTATTTTTGTCACCACACAACCAACATTGTCCTGGCACCTGACAGGGTTAATGGTCAACTTTGCATGTACAGTGTATGTTTCCATGTCTTTGTGGCCAAGACTCACACAGACCATCTGTTCAAAGTGGTAACGGGCAGAAAACAGATAATATATTGGACATCATCCCCACAGGCACTTTGGCCAGATATGTGCAATTTGCCTTCAAGTGCAGGACCCCTGGCAAGTGGTGGAAACGGTTGGCTATGTTATAATGGATGGGATTCAACTCAGCCACCAGCACTGCAGATTGTTATTTGGTCAATACACTTGGTCGCTCATTGTGCACAGCAAACAATGTTGTTTCCCACTGCTGATGAAACATGCTGTCATGGAGCGAAATCAGTGTGCTGCAACTGATGGCTCAATGCTGCAGTATACATTGTTGCAGATGCAGGGATGGTTCACGTTCTTGTGTCGTGCCACCTCTCACCCACCAAATCGCACTGATCCGGTGTCGCCTCGTGGACCTATCATTTCACCTTGTTTGGTGCATTGGAAGGTCTGCATACTGACAAAGGGCAATTTGCATTGCTCGCTGCCCACAGACAGACTGGTCCCGGGGATGGAAGTGCGATCCGGAACATGTTCAGCTAGCAATGGCACAGCCGTCGAGGATCCCACTCTCTGCCGGGACCTGCAATTCAGGGAGTCAAATCGCATGTGCAACACTGCGCCATGCGAGCTGTTCCGCTTTGCTGTAGGGCGTTGGAGCTCTTGCTCCTGCTTGACCCGGCAGCAAAACAGGGCAGTCGAATGTGTTGATATGACTGGCGAACGGGCAGAAGAGCGGGGCTGCGAGCGTCTGGGGCTCCTGAAGCCGAGGGAGGTGCAAGGCTGTGAGCCTGAGGACTGTCCAGAGACACCTGGCTTTAGGAGGTTGTTGCAAAACGGGACAACTGTGGTGGACCCATGTGAAGGGAATCTTTGCTCAGGTTGGACTCCTGCTACAAAAACACTGGACTGCCAATGGAATTGGTCAGTATTTCTCAAGGCGAATTGGAAAAACGATGTGCATACCCTGTGGCCAGTAGCAAATATTCAGTGCTCCAGCTTGTGCTGACACCAAGTGTGCCTGAGCCATTGGCACTGCTGCAGCTTCGTTTCTCACTTACTCCCATACTTGTTGTGCCCAAAACTGTGCTCTGGAAATAAGGAAAACTGAAGTGTTGGAAACTTCCCAGTTTTTGCTGTCTGAACTTTATTGTGCTGCTGCCAGGCCATGGGAATTGCAGCAATGGGTCGTGCTCATGTAATATGGGTTTTGATGGCCCAGACTGCCAATTGGACGTTCGAGAAGAGTCCATGTGCCCCACAGGCGTTTTGGACGTGGAGGGCAACTGCTGTGAGACTGCTGTGTACGACCATTTCACAGGCCAGTGCTGCAAAGGGGAGGGAGTTCAGCTGGACAAGAGTGGACGGTGCTGCCTTGGCACTTTGGATGTGTGTGGCGAGTGCAATGGCACGGCAATCTTCATCGATGCATTGGGACGGTGCTGCGACGTGGGTGGCCATGGTTTCCGGCAATGTCACAATGTTGATGTCACGATTGGGCGACTGACTGCACTTTGTGACTGAATGGAGTCAATGTTCCCCACAACGCCATTGGAATGACAGCTGACATAAATTTTGCCCTTTCATTTGCCATACTTGTCATCACACGGCAGTGTGTCAAGCGAAGTGCGAGAATGTGCTAGAAGAGGACTCCCCAGTCGGCATCGTATTTGTGGAATGGATGGGAAACAATGTGTGGGCAAGACGGTGGTGTGCTTCCCTGCATGCCATCAGAAGCACGTGTATGCAGGGTCATTGACATTGCCAGATAGAAAGACATCTCCTGATGCAACTGAAGACGTGATGGTCACGAAACACAATGCTGATAGAGAACGCCTGAAGGCAAAAGCAGGTGTAGAGGACAAGATGCTGATGGGGTTGAATACAGGTCACACTTGCTGAAGTTGAGGTTGCTCATTGTATGTCCTTTCTTTTCTGTCACAACCAGTCTTCCAAGAGCTGCGTGCGTGCTTGCGTGTGTGTTGGTTACTCAGTTTGGTTAGTGCTCCTATTAGCTTGGTTCTTACATTTGTTTGTTGTTTGCAGTCTACCCTTGATTCCTCTGGCCTGTGCTGCTCAAGTGGCGATGTGGATGTGTGTGGTGTCTGCGACGGCTTTGGAGCCAGTTGCGGAACTCAGGTCATAGCCATAGTGCAGACTGACACCATTGAGGAAGACAGAGTCGAGCAGTGTGTTGCCCAGGGCATCGCAGAATTGTTGGAACTTGAGGTAGGGTGCTATTTGGGGCATGTTTAGTGCGATCTAAATTGGACAAGCTTGTCGCTGATCTGCTGCAAATCGTCACATTGCGCTTATTGTCACTGTAGTATATTAGACCCTTCTGCATGGTAACGTAATGTTTGGCCTTGTTGTGTGGATCAATGGTAAAGAGGAACAGTGCTAAAACTGTTGCAGTGAACCAATAAAACAACCCCTTAGAAGAGCACCAAGGGCACCACTAAAACAGTGCCAGAGATGTGCAGAATGTACAGAGTCTAAGCACTTTGTGAGCATCCCGTCTTGGATCGTACAGCACACTTACAGGGAAACTGTGGAATGGTCAGCAGCACCTGAAACTTGGCCAGCAGTCCAGCTGACTGTATTGCCCAACCTGCACCCGCCCAGTCTCTCAAGCAGCAAAAAAACAAATAGCGCTGTGAAAGCAAATGCGGAGAAAAATCGCAACACTGAAATTTTCTGATGCGGAAGGGTAAAAGATACTATGGCATGGTGGACAGTTGTATACTGGGCTGCGCTCAAAATCGAAACATCATGTTTGAGCACTGTATGGGTGTTTGCTACTACTGACTGTTTTGCTTGCAGCTACTGTGGTTCAATGCATGAGGGATGGAGGAAATCAGCTGAACAGCTGTAAGTCTTTGTGGTTAAATACTTTGTAAGGTGCTTTGGGCAAATCCCACCCTGCGCAGCTTGTGGAGCATAGTTGCATCACTGAAGTATTCGTTTGTTCCTCATGAACAACCGGCAGCTGAGCTGAGGGAAATTTTGCCTGATGGGGCGCTGTGTGTCTGGGAAGCAGGAAGGAAATGACCCGACAGTAGACATCCTGTGGACAGATGGAGGTGCAGACAGCTTGGACATTGCTTTCAATATCTCAGGCATTCCAAGGTCGAAGCTGGGCATCTTGGGGCGCCTTGCCATGACCGTCACCAATTCAACGGCACGCGGCGATGGCTGCACCGTGATGGACATCCTAAGTGTGGAACGGCTACCAGTGTGTGGCAATGGTGTGTGTGAAGTTGGGGAAGCAGCAGGGTCCAGTGGCTCCAGCTCTCGGCGGGGCTTCGGCTGCCCTGAGGATTGCCCTTTCAGGTTTGACTACAACTGCCCAACTGCAAATGAGAACAGCTTGGTCGGGCGCCAAGATGAGATGTGTTCGGGCAATGGGAGGTGCTTGTATGCAGAGGAGGGCCGCTGCGACTGTTATGCGGGGTACGAGGGTGCTGCCTGTGACCGGTGCTCTTTGGGATTCATGGTCTTCAACAGGAAGTGCGTTCTGAGGACAGGGGCTGCCACGCCGCCGGGAGGCATGCCCTTCTGTTGCACTCCTGGGCAGCAGACTGAAGCGCCAGCCGAGGGACCACGGTTGGAAGAGGTGGATGGCGCGCCGACTGTGTCTGTTGTAGATGGGAGTTCTTCTGCCAATGGCAATGTTGAGGCAATCCCGAGGAGAATCAGTGACGATATCTCCACAGGGGACGACAGGTGGGCAGTGCCATTGCCGCTGCTGTTGTGAAGCCTGCGGCTGACTTGCAGTTCTGTTGCATGTGGAACCCCTTTTGTCACAGCAGGCAGTTCTGTTGACAGGTTTGCATTCAGAGAATGGATGAAGAGCATAACATCCTATCAGTTGTTTGTGACGTCCACTGACAAGCGAATTTGTCGAACAAGGGTGCATGATGTTGCCAGGGCAGGGCTGCACCAAATAGAGCGATGTTCGTGGCCAAATCATTGGATCAAACTGGACCTCTCACAACCATTTGAACATAGCTGTTGCCAGAACAGTTGCAAAATTGCTGCTGTGATGGCATGGCAGTGGATCAAGTGAGGAGCCAAAACTTGAAAAAAAGACAAAATGGGCAGTCTGATTGCTCACCGTTGATGGCTTGTGCCTTTTGCTTTGCAGTCAGTTTGGGGTGTCTGAGGCTGCTTTCACCTCCATAATGGCTGTTGCCATTATCGTGTTCATTATGTGCATCTCGCTCGCTCTGCTCTCCTACAAGCGCCGAGCCAGGAGGCCAGGAGAGAGTGTGACAGAAGAGCGGACGACGGGTGAATCTGGTCCTGTCAGTGATAGGGACTCGAAAACGTATGCTGCGATTTGGCAAGACTTCCGACAGGGCCTCACTAGGACTGATGGCGGTGCCAGGAGCTTGCCAATGATCATGTCGTCCAGTGAACCAAGGTTAGGATGGGGCTATGTATTGAATGCCATTGGGTATGGGTAAAAGTTTGCACATGTGCATTTGTTATCATCCTTGCTGTGAATGTACAACAGTCCCAAACGAAGCAGTTGCTTCTTTGCAATCTTTTAGGAGCGATTTTGAAGTCGCAGTGTACAAGAAGCATGCTACTCAACTGGGTCCACCCGATTGCTGCTTCCTCCAGCGCCCTGCTCATGAAAGAACTGGTCTGTGCTGGGCTGCGTATATCCCACAAGTTTGAATGTTCAGTTGTGATTGCGTTGATTGGGTTTCCTTCTGCTAGCAGTCTGGGCCCTGTCACTGTGCTGCATGCACAGAGTAGAAATTTTCGCATTTAATATTGAATTAGAATATTGTGATGCTGCATTATGTTGCAGAATGATCCAAAATTTTCAGCTGCCTTTTGGTGGCCATCAGTTTAAACCTTGAAGATCAGGTAGCTCGCTGCCAGTGGTGCTTTGAGAGCAGAGCATCAGCACCAGTACAATGTGTTCCACATTTATCAGTACCTGTGCCGATTGTATATCTGCTGCAACTTGTGTCACATGTTGCTGGCTTTTGGTGCTGCCCTGCTGTCTTCATTACATGAAAAGTTGCTGCCCTATTGTCTCCTTGCTTGAAAAGTTGCAGTTACCATAGTACTCTTTCGAGGGCAGCCGCCAACCTTACTGAAGGTGGTGGGTGATATTTTGGCTCCCTGTGTCACAGGGAACGTGGAACAAGCATAATTGGCATGAGCAGCCCACCCCTGAAACGCTACAGTGAGGCAGGCACCAGCACTGCGAGATCCACTCAAGGCATCTCATGTGACTGGGGTTCAGATACTTCAGATGCCTCCAACCACAGATGTCACAAGGCATCGTGTGTCTCTTCGATGTCATCAGTTGCTGAAGAGTTGACCTTTGGCCGCACAGTCGACTTTGCAGAGATGCGAAGCCAAAGCACATCAAGCGAGAAGGGGGTGAGTGTCGGCAATTTGCTGCACACCAAGCAGCATGCATTGAAAGAGACTTCCTCAGTCAACATCATTGACCAGAGGAACCAGTTTAATCCAAGGGAAGTATCAGAAGATCCGATTCTTTTGACGGGAGCTGCCCAGCAACAGCGTGGCATGTACGAAATCGAGCCTTGGGGCTCAACAGCGAGGTCTAGCCAAATGAACATGGGCTTTGCAGGGAGCAAGTTTCATGGGACGGAGCCCTCTATCGTGGGGCCTGGCACATACAGCAGCATGGAAGGGGGACCATTGGGAGCAGAAATAAGCATGCAATCGACAGCAGCAAATAATTCGAGGGGGGTGAGTGGTGGGCAGTCCCCCACCTTCGATTGGGCAAATTTACAAGACGAGCCGGTTTCTCAGAGCTCAGACAGGGTTATTGCGCCTGCGATGGTGTCCAGCCCTTGGACGCATATGGCTGGCAGGAACGTGTCCTCAGGCAAGTTGCGCATGGCCCCGCCCTCTGGGATGGCAGAGGATGCAATCTACAGTGTGCGGACCAAAGCAACCACTGAGGACCCTGGCCTTGTTGCCGTTGCATTCCAGAATCCTGTGGTTTCAAGCCCACAGCTTTTGGCAAGCCGCGATTCGGACATGATGCCGATGGGCTGCATACCTTCGGGGGGAGAACACCGCAGCCAGCCAGAAACAGCACGAAAGCATTGGCGTGGGCTGGCTGCTGGAATCATTGATACAGCAGAGGATGTTGAGGCAACACGGGGTCGGCCAGAGGTGAGGGGTCCCAGGAATGTGGGCCCGGGGGAGAATGTGAAATTCCCTCAGTATGTGTCGATCAGGAGCCATGAGGTTGACATGGAGCTCAGCGACTGGGAGAAGGAGATGTGCACTCAGAATGTGTATCGACAAGCACCGGGCACTGGTGATTGGGAGGTGAGTGCCTCGCAGCTCTGTACCACTAACAATTCCTCATGGTAATTTGCACCTTGACGACACGTGCTCACAGCCTGTTTTGTTGGCATTCACAGCAGAGTTGCTCATGAGATTTCCTCGAAGCTTGCCGTTTCGGTATTTCAACCCGTTTTCGAACTTGCGATTTTAAGTTTTGCGAGTTGCGGGTTTTCTGGGTCAATGCGCACGGGACAAACACAGGTTAGGGATGTACAAAACAGTTTCTATTTCAAAAAAAAAGGAAACACAACCGTGAGTGCTTGAGAGCCAGGCTGCATATAGAATCTCAAGAAATGGGCTGCAAGCACACAAAAAACGGCTGCAAACGTTCAATAAATGGGCTGCAAAGACGTAAGAACCTGCCGCTATCTCTCCCGTTCTGCATTGCTTCACTGCTTGTTGTTTTTTATTCTTTTTTGCAGAGTGCATCGCATGACTCAATGTCATATGGCGAACGGGAGTCCCAACGCGGAGATGATTCTCATTGCCATCCGCTGCAGCTGAGAAATGTGCCGTGGGTAAGGCGTCTTGCCTTATAAGAATAGACATACCCACGCCATCCGCAATCTGGCACCCGTTCTGTTTGTTTTGCTTTGCTAGACAAACACGGCTACTCATTTTGTCAAGGAGCCCATCAGATTGCGCGAAATGTTACAAAGTAGATTGTTTGGGAGTGCGTGCTTTGCAGCCACCAGCTCCTGAGCCACAATGTCTGGTTGCCCGATTCCCCGCACGTATCAACCTTCAGGGGAAATGATGCTGATCATCAGTCACATTGCACTGCCCGGTTTCGACGAACGGATGGAATCAGTTGTTTTACTCCGCGCATATCACAGTAAACTGATGCAGCAACAGCGCATTCCTCGCGGCCTGCACCTCCGATCTTGTTGGTTGCGTTGGTGTGCGCACATGCATATGCCATCCATATGAAATGAAACGCCCCCTCGGGTCAAAAGCTTCCAGAGCTCCCCAGAACTTGTGCGTTTGCAGTGACAATGCGGATGTGGTTTTGCACTGGGCATGCCTGCTGCACACTGGAGACTTCGTTCCTAAAGTAGATAGTAAACCATGTTTCACGAGGCCTAATGGACAGGATATGAGCCCACTCACAAGTCGCAAGACATGCCTAGATTGTTGCGGTTGTTCCCCACACCCAGAGTGTTTAGTTTTCGATATGCTGCCTGACGCCGAAGCCGATGTTCGTCTTCAGTTTTTCACTGCCGCAGCGCATCGGTTTCATTTTCCATCAACCTGTCTACATATATGATCATCTGTCCCATTTTGTGTCCAATGTGCACTGGCAGCAGCTATTTCCGGGATTGGCCCCGCGGGTCTGATGACATGGAACGGTGTGTCCTTGCCATTCCCAAAATGTCACCAACCGCCTGAGCCTCTATCCAAGCCTAACAAATGCTTATGTTTCCAGACCGCAGCATCCTCCCTGCTTCCAGAGGAGTTGCGTCCAAATGCAGAATCCGTCTTCGCTTGTGAACCTGAGAATGGCGGCAATACCGGCACGGTACGTATTTGGTGCCGCAATTGAACGATGCAAGATTTGCGGCCGTTATCGAGAGCCTATAATCATATGTACATTATGTTTTCTTTACATCCTTGTGTACAGCACAATAGAATTGTGCTGGTGAGCACGTCGACCTCCAAAAGGCTCAAGAGGTTACCAGTGGGTTGCATGCTTATCCAACTCGCACCGAGTAGATTGTCGAACGCTGGAAAACTAGTGTCTTCAAGACACTGTCTTGTGCAATTGCCCATCGGAAAAATATTCGTGCACTCCTGATCTCTTGAGAGCATTCAATATTCGCTGGATGAACCGTGAATAATCTGTGGAAGAACCCTTTTTTGGGAAAATGATTTAAGGCTCAGTACTTTACAGTATGCTTGTACTAATCTGTCCTGAAAGGTTGTTGAAGAGTTTTCCTGTCTGCTCTTGCAACAATTAATGTACCATCAGAAGATTGCGTGAAGTTGAAATATGTGAGGGAGCTGATCCAAACGCATTTCAAAATGTCGGCAGTGCGCATAATTGTGAGTTTACCCTCACTGTTGTCTTTATATTCGTGTGCGCTTCAGGTTGGCACACGCACTGCAGAGGTTCCTGAAAATCGGCAGCGCGGGGGCGCACCAGTCCTGGCCACTCATGACTTTCGACTGAGCGACGTGTCCAGGGTAAATGACGTTGGTTGCAAAGCTGTCTTCAGGATTTTGTCCATGAATCAAAGCGACCTACAATCGCCGTTTGACCACAAGAGATACAGGATCTTCAATTGAAGTCGTTCGCCTTGCGAGATAGATGTGCTCCGCGCCTGCGTAGAAGCGCTGGTCCAAGTGCGGTTAGTCCGTTAGGAATCGATTCAAACGAAGCTTCAATGGCAGAGATCACGGCGCCGTCTCAAACGTAGTGGTCCGCAGCATGCTGGGGTACTTCAGGCCGTGTGTGTGACCTAAATGCAACCCATTCCCGAAAGCTGACGGTTGTTCTTCGCTGCCAGCAGAGCACGACGCAATCCTCAGCATGGCAAGGTGAAGGAGGCGATGAAAAGATGCCGTTTGAGAACGCCAGTCTGCCAATCGACGACGGGACGCAGGTGCCGCGGCAGGCCATTCCCCACATCATTGTGCTCGAAACCCTTCGCTGATTTTAGACATGGCGGAGGGCGTTTGGAATCGCTCTAGTTTGCTCCAACATTTTTCGGTGACGGGCCGGGGGCTCGGGCACTGTATGCACTCACACTGCCAGGGTGTAGTTCCAAACGGGGCCAGTTCGCGTGGCCATCTTAAATCGGCAAACTTCCTAACTTCCTGTAATGTAGTGTTGATGTATTATTTTGAATGGTTCGAAATTGCTTGGGAATCTTTTGTGGAGGAATACGTTTTAATTAGAAAGGCGGACACGTTAGCCTGACACTTGATTTTTTGCCTTGTTTTCTGTCAGATGGCGTCTTCGACTTCTGAATCTTGGGACGACGAGGGCATGGTCAGAAAAGAGGGATTCGGGGGGCATCCCACGCTCGCAAGAAAGGCGGCACAGGTGGGACACCATGAATCATTCATTCACTGCTTGCGTTGTACTTTAGCACAACGCTACGGACAAGCCAATATTGCATGCGCATATTTTGCTTCCCCTTTTGCGAAACTGACACATGGATTCCATTGTACCATAGGCGCTTCCCGCTTGGGCAGTTGCACTGAACATTGGACGAAGTTCAAACACCTAGACAACATTTTTAGTGACGTTATTATCACATAATCTTTGTAGATTACACAAACGCCTTAGTTTAGCGCATCAGCATGATCTTGATCGATTCGTATCATGAATGTACTCTATCCGTCCAAGAGTAATTGTCCTCTATGACTTTGGGGCATTACTTCTGTTAAAATTCCCCTTAGTGATCGCCCCGAAGGACAGATGGACCACAGGCTGAACTTGATCTTTGCCCCAAAGAAATTGGCTTTAGCCATGAGAGTTTAAGATCATCACATGGAACTATACAAATAACCCATTGTTTTAAGTTAATGATCAATCATATTCAACATCGTCAAGAACTCAATCATGATTGAATAACGTCATATCACTTTTAAATGCTCAATTCATATGCCTCACCCTTTCACCCTAAGATAATCAGCTACCACGCATACCTTGAGAGCTCCACAAAGCATTTGCCACCACTCTCCCACCTCTTGCCAAATGCAATGATGCCCTTTGCGCCACACCTTGCTTTGCATCCAAAAATCCATTAATCGACGAATCAGTTTTAAGTCCCTTTGATCTTCCTTATCCACACTGGATCACTGCCGAATATTCCCAAATTGCGCCAGGTGAATATCCACCATCATCTAAGCAAGTTGGCTCATGGGGCCCAAATATGAATTCGGAAGCCTTCTTGGTGTTCCAATACTTGAAGTCTTTTAGGAGGGGTCCCCCTATTGGGACCCGGGCCTCAAGAATTAGGGTGTGCGGGTGGTTGACACTATTGGCAAATGGTCCAGCGACACCGCCTTCTCATCCTCTACCACAGCGCCATTACACAACTCTCTAACATCCACCTCGTGTCTCATCTCATGGCCTTGCCACCTTACACCACCTTTTCCTCACATCACTTTACTTTCCCAAGTACAATCCCCCTCACAACATATCACTTTGCAACCCGCGACACCTCACACCCCTCTCACGGTGCCTCACGGCGCCCCACCATGGCTGGAGGCCCTGGCACCAGCACGTGACACCTCACACTCCCCCCCACGATCCACTATCATAGGAGCGGTGTGTAGCCTGACTTAATATCCAATTGCCATCACCCCATAGGCACCGGCAACCAAGTGCATCAAGTTCACACCTATTCCCAAGCGTGTGTGATTTTGTATCATGTCACTCTCTTAAAAAATAATGAAAATAGATGACTGATCATTGATCTTAATGATCTTAATGACTTAGATAACTTGAATAGTTATCATTTGACATAGCATATAACACACAAGCAACCCAATGATCACGCTTCTATCGTCATATTATATCATCCAAGCCATCTAAATCATTAAAACACATTTTTAAATCATCTTAAAAGCAATGGACCCTTTGTGCTTTTGTGCACATTGTAAGTTTTATTTCAACAGGGAGCCAACCACAAAATGCATCACGTTGTTTGTTAATGAGTAGATTGTAAGCATTATAGGCGACTCGAAGAGTATACGACACATGTGTTATTTTTTCACTTTTGCAACAATGCCAATTGGTTGTCCACATCATCCACACATTAGTCACAATAGTGACTAAAATAAATTTAACACTTCTCCCCCGTACATACATCACCTTTCAATGAAATTTCACTCACGTTGTGCTTGTAAGTATACTGTCAGAATTTCAAGTCAATGCATCGAGTATTGAGGATTTTGTATTACTTTGTATCAAGAATCTTTTTACCTAATAAACCTGGGTATTTGGGGTCGAAAATGACCAAAATTAACCTTTCTCCTAACGCTTAAAAAGGTCGAATCTCATTTTTTCTTGAAAATTGGTGGGTGAGGGCTTTGGAACCCGATCTTTCTGATTTTGAACTTGTTTTGTAATTTTGAGGCTGTCCTTATAACGAATTTTGTCTTTCAAATGGAGGACAATTAATATTGGAGAGAGGAAATTATATGTTATCAAATATCATATCTTGAATAACATCAGCAAGTTAGTATATTTCTTTCATGTAAGTCGCATCACATACGCAAATCGAATCTATGCAAGCCTCAAGAATTGCAGGCTTCAAAATTCCTGTTGGTAGCCATGCACGCCATATGTATATGGCCTCTAATGCCCATGCAGCACTGCAATTGTCAATTAAAGGCCGAGCTGCATCAGCAGTGACTATTGCAGCCCGACCCTGAATGCTGCCATCTTCTCACAGGGGCCCGGCTCCTCATCTCTCCACGAATCTCGCCAACCAGGTGCATTGAAGTACAATGATGGATTGGCGCCTGCGTCCAGGGTACGCCGCGAAATTGCATCGCTTTTATTGTCTAGATATGACAGGGCGTGAAGACCGGTGTTTGCTGGAACTGCGCTTCTATCTGTTCTGTCGATTCAGCGCTAGTTTCCTGATGTGCTGGCAGGCGCATATTCTTTGTGGCACATGTGATGCCCTGGAGTATCCTGTTTGCGAGCGGACGGCATGATAAGCACAGCGCGACTGAAAGAACTGATATGCGTTGCACCGCTTTGCGCCTTGTTTGAGGTGGATGGGAAGAATGTTTGTGCTGACGACGAATGTTCTGATTGCGACCTAAGAGAGATAAGTTGTTTGCGGGTCCCCTAGACTGCCTCTGAAGGTTTGGAATACGTATTTGACGGAGAAGGCTTCAGTCCCTACCCTACGGCGGTGCTGGACAGTGGCGGATCCATGGTGAGATCTTCCTTTCCTTTCGCCCGGTTTATTTGAGAGATCTACCCATTTGCAGGTCAAACCGCCCGTGAGTTGGAACGTGCAGAATTGGAAGGAACTGTTTGCGAATTGCATCAGTCGCACGTGAGTGGGCAAATCCCCTGCTGCGAATTAGTGACGAACGACCACAATGCCGCTGCAGTGTTGCGGCCAATCTCTCCCCACTTGGATGCAGGATTGGGGCCCCATACGGTGCAGCAGTCCTTGCGGTCTGCCTGTCTTGAAGTCTAGCTCCAACAGGAAGGCGTACTGGTGGTGCGCTTCATTGTGTAAACGATCACGCTGACGGTTCCCACTGGCGTGTGCTTTGGCGCACAGGGCGCGTCATGGGCCGCAAGCCCTCTAGAGGCATGCCACTTGAACGGAAGGAATGGATTTGAGAGCCATCCACTGCAGTGGGAGTGACTTTTCGCAGGCAAGTGCAAAGTCGCTGGAACTGTGGCGCGCTGCAACGTTGCCTGCGGGAACGAGGTGCATAGCCAGCAGCAAGTATTCACTGATGAAACCGCGCTGCTGGTCATGTGCTTTATTACATGAACATACTGTGCGGCTCAGGTTTTCCATCTGCCTGCCAAGTCGGATCTGTGGTGTGCAAGTAGAAGGAACACTTGTGGTACACGCTGCACAGATTCGCAGTGCCTGAGACATGTGCGCCAAGTGGCGCTGTTCTTCGGTAAGTCGGAGTAACATATGAAGGGCCTGTTATCAAACAGAGAAGGGGGGGATAAATTCACTTCCGGAGTGTCGCATACCTCACTTAAATTTTCCTTTGGGCATTCCTTCCTACTGTCTAATGTGCGCCTTCATATGTAACCCTTCATTCCCAATCACCTCGTTCGCGGGTCCTCCCCTTCTCCCATACCATGAGCCTGGCTGCCATGACTGATAATGACCCTGTCAGAGAGTGTTCTTAACTCTCAACGAAAATGGTGCAGCCCTGAATCCCTCAAGCAACGCGTCCCACGCAAGCCACGCACCTACACGAGTCAGAAACTCTTGAAGAAACCCAAGGCACCGTGTCATCAGGTCAGAAATGTTCCGCGGTATTTCACTGTTCTGCATTCGCCACAAGCCTGGCAGCTGAATCGAGCTCTGGCCTGTGGGGTCAATCAGTGAAAGTGTGTTTCCTATCTTCCCGCGAGATAATCCAATAAATGGCAGGCTGGGGGGTCAATTTGAAATGATTCGAAACGAGAACTATCAACATGTGTAAGTCTTGGGTAAGAATTGACACGAAGGCCACCTCCGTTCTCGAAGGCCCTCGCTCCCAGTCCAGCGAGTGCGCAAAACGTCAACTCACATGGAGCACGAAGGTTGGACTTGGATTGGATCTGGACTGACTTCTTGTTGTGTTGCTGCGCAGAGTGTTCAGGAAACTTCGGAATCAAAGGGGTAGATTCTGACGGGACAACCTAGTTTGCATAATTGATTATTGGCTGGTAGTGGAAAATAACGTATTAGTTTTCGATCTGTGCCTCTTAGCCGAAGGTTTGTGCAACTCAGACTGAAAATCATCTGTGGCATGTAGAGAACTGTAAAAATTGATATCATTGGGCGCGTGGGAATGCGCCACTGCCGCGCCTGCCCCCTCGCTCCGTGGCATCACTCAAGCATACGGCGTGGTTCCTTCCACGCCATTCGCAAAGAGAGGACAAAGGACTGAATCACACATCATACGGACGCACTCATACGCTGGACTCAGGCCAACAGGGCCAGATTCAATTGGCTTGCAGAGGGTGATTTGCTAGGCAGAGGTGGGAGTTCATCTGCACCAGGGTGAGGTCGCAACCACAGCGAGGGCGCTTGACCCTTAAGAGGAGCGCATGTCTACAGCCAATGTCCATTGTTTCGATTGTAAGGTCTTGCATTTGCCGACTTTATCTTGCATATGCCGGCGCTCGGTGGCCAAGGTGGTGGTCTCCCCAGTTGGATCCCGTTTGTTGACGCCGCGGGGACCGTGGAGCTCCGGCACCAAGGCGAAATTCAGAAACTTGCTCACAGGGCACAATTTTCGGTCCTTGTTCAGGTCGCGTTGCGTTGTTGAACCGCGCGTCCGTTCCCCACTGTGCTGGGGGTACGGTTGTGCGCGGTACGATGGAATGAACCGATTGTGTAATCGTGAGCATGCACCTTGGGCCGAATGGACTGCGAGTGCATTTGGTTGCCAACGCGATGTGCTTGATGCTTGGCAGCTTGGACAGCTGTGTTGCCACATGGCATTGAGGTCCAATGGCGCGGAATATTGTATTTATTCTGCCAAACAGGGTGTGGAAATGAAGGTGCTGCTGACCGGACCATCGCTTCATCGCTGCTGCAAATGGGCCGCCCTCGACATAATTTGCCACATAGTCCCTCAACTTGCCTTTTGAATGTTCTCCAAAATGCTCAGCCCGACGTAAGGACACCATCCTGTGTCCCCCTCTTGTTTTGCATCAGGCCAACGTTCGGTGGAAACTAAAACCGCAGAGTAGTCTGCTGGCCCCAAAAACTCTTGCCAAATACTTCATGTGTTCAGTATGAACCCCAGCCCCATGGAGCAGTGGCCACGGGAACAGGCTGTCCAATCTTCGGACTGCATCCCCACTGGACCTAGCCAAGCTAGGCCAAGCTTGTCCGACCCCGGCAATTACCCTCGTCGGTCAACACCCAAGGCGAGCTCACCAGCGGTGTATGGCGACCCCGGTGGCTCGGCCTCCGGCACACTTGAACGCCTTCCGCTCTCTCAAGTGCGGGCATAGCACGGACAGTGACACGCACGCATTGGGCTCCCTCGAGTTCTTTGCGTCAAAGCCGGTGACTTCCAGGAGATGTGAGCTGTGTTGGATGACGGTCGACGCCCTCGTTTTGCGTGGGGCCGACGACAGTGAGTGGGTGGAATAAAGCAGGGACATCGGACCCGCTCGCATGCTGGCACATGAGTGTCAACGAGGCCGACGAAACAGCAACACGTGCGCCAACAACGCAAGTCAACGTTCGTCACCAAGGCCTGCGCAGCTGCGCTACCGGCCCCCCAACTGCCGATTAGCGCTGAGCTCCATTGCACACATTGTGCGCCAGTTGCGCAAAGTCGAAGGCAAGCGCGGCAGACACTGTCTTGCCTTTCCCCCGCGGCAACGCACACTTGCCTCGGAGGTGGTGCCCTCTGCGCGACCTGTTTCTCTTTCCAGCAAAGCCTTAAAATCCCCCGGCAACACAATGCCATGCAGATTCGGGACCACCACTGTTTACTCAACCGACAACGAGCTGCCTAATGACAGAGCGCAGCCAATTACCTCACGGCAGCCCCGCCCCCGTCCTTGACGCCGTCCAGCAGACGGCAGCACTTCATCCCCTGCCCCCTGGGCCGGTACAGTATTTGACGAGACCAGGCGGGGCGCCCTGCTTGGCTCGCGTCCAGGCGGACGCGCGCAGGTGGGGTCGCAGGGGCTGGGCGCCGCACGCCGGGCGCCAGGCCGGCTCTCCGGACGCGGGGGGACCCCTGAGGTAGTGAAGCTGCACGCCACAGGTGATTTCCGTGCCCGCGTCTGACCTCAGGGAGCGCCACCAGGGGGACCGAAGGAAGTCCAGAGGTCTGGGTCAGGGACCCATTCGCTTCGATCGGACGCGAGTGCGGCTCGCTCTTTGCGGCGGGGGGGCTGACCGGGGCGTTTTCGGCGGCATTCGCGCCCGCTGCTGGCCCGCGGGTCTGCGACGGAATCGTGGAGGGATGTGTGCACATGGATTTTCTGGCCGCAAGGGGAGTGTCGTTTGATTTCGCGCCTCGGCCCGGGTCTTGGTGGGTGGATATCCTGACCGCAGTCACTGGGCCGCAGGTCGCGGGCAGCGGGGGAATGCGCCTGGCGTCCCGCGAGACCCGGACGTTGTTTGAAGCACCGCCGGGCGGCGCGGGGCGTTCTTCCCCGCGGGCCGCCGCCACGAGGACGGCGAGATGGCGGGGGAGGGGGCGAACGAGCGCCGGGGACTCGCGGACGCCCTTCTGAGGGCGGGATGCGGGCTGGAGCCGGCGCTGCGGCTCATCTCGGACCCCGTGGTCGACCTGGAGCCGGCCATCGCCAGGGCGCTGGTGATGGCTTCCAACCGGTGCGAGGGCGAGGGTGCGGATCCGAGGGAGGGAACAGACGCCGGGCTGGCCGATCAGCCGGTGTGGCGGCCCGCCCAGTTCGCGGACGCGATCAAGAGTGAGCGCCCGCGGCTTGATTGGGGCAGGGTGGCAGCCAGCCTGGACATCGATGGCTTCGAGGGCCTGGGGCAGGGCGCGTTCGCGGGCCTGATGGAGGCCTTCCGGCGCGCCTGTCCCGGGGGGTTCCCCCTGGAGGCGGTGCTGGGGCTGGTGTGGAGGCACCCGAAGGCGCAGCTGGCGTTCCTGCGCCACGCCGTGGCCGCCCCGTCCGAGCTGTTCGAGTTCCGGCCCGACCAGGGCGTGTTCCCAGTCGGCGTCCTAGAGGCCCGGCGGGCGGCCGCCGGGGGCGGTAGTTGCGCCTGGGTGAGCCTAGACCTGCTGGAGACTCTGTACATGCTGGCCAAGGGGGGCCACGAGCTCGAGGTGCGGCAAATACTTGACTATTTGGTCAGGCACTGCAAGGAGGTGCTGCTGGTGGCCCTGGACAGGATGGGCGTGCCAGAGTGCGCCATCTTCCAGGAGGCCTACCGCAACCTGATCGAGCACTTCCTCAGGCAGACAGAGTGCCCCTCGGACTGCAACCCTGAGGAGGTGTGCTCCACGGTGCGGGACATGATTTTGGAGTGCGCAACGGGGGTCCAGGAGGCATCGACCGGCCTTGGGGAGGCCCCCCAGGCGCCCAATTGTGGAGTTGTGGGCCCTGCAGGTGGGTGCTTAAACGAGGCATCGATGCCAGATGCTCCCTGCCAGTCCACCGACTCCGCTCGGAGCTCCATCGTCACCTGCTCGTCCATGCAGGGCATGTCGATGGAAACATCGCTGACAGAGTTGTCAGAGATGTGGACTGGGTTGGAGCGCAGCGCCAGCAGCGCTAGCAGCACCATGGGTAGCAGTGACATGGATGACAACAAACGTGTGAAGGCTGCAGTGGAAACTGGGGACGACGGTCAGGATGGGAGTGAGTTGGGAGATGATTTTGAACTCAACGTTGCCATTCCTCCATGCCTGAACCTTGGGCATGCTGAGCTCAAGAAGGGGAAGAGCAGACGTGTGGGAACCGGTCGTGCTCGTGGGGCTGGTGCTGGTGGGCTTGGGAGTGTTGCACTGTCAAGCGACCGCTGCCTTATGAACAAGACGTTGAGAGAAGCATGCTTGCCCCCCAATGTGTTGCCACCACAGCACATCCAAACCCTCCTTGCCAACATCTTGGATGACATCTGTGGATGTGTATCCCTGGCAGACAGGATTCGCAGGGACGTCAATGGAGAGGACATGGCATGGCTGGCAGACTCCCTCCTGGCCAAGTGCATTGTTCGTTCGGAGCATCCACACTCTGGCTGCCTGGCCCTGGTCAATGCTCTTCCGCAGATGAGGGAGTGTGTGTTGGTATCAGTTTATCACTATATTTATGCTTTTCTGCATTCCAGCACATTGGCTTCAGACAGTGGCGACCGACATTTGCTTCGGCGCCTAGGCTCATGGCTGGGGCATTTGACACTTGCGAGGAACACGCCCATAAGGCTGAGGGACCTTGACTTGAAGGCAGTGTTGGATGAGGCATGGAGGGAGGACACGCTCCCAATAGTCCTGCCATTCCTTCTGGCCGTTCTGATACCTGCGACGGGGTCCCTGATCTTTACCGCTGAGAATCCCTGGATAGGAGCTGTTCTGGTCGAGCTGGCAGAGGTGCACACGAATGGCCATCCATGCGTGAGACCAGACATTGAGCGCATCATGGACATTTTTGATGCGGACTTGCAAAGCTTTGTGCGACGTCATTCCAGCTATCAGGGCCATGTGAGAGGTGCTCCAGTTACTGGCAGCAGCTTTCACCAAAGCCCGTCATGGTTGGTTTACCAGACCGCTGCCCTACAGCCTACGTACAGTGTTGCGCAGCACCAGGCCATACAAGTTCATGGGGTCCAGGGCAGTTCACTTTCAGGACTGAGCACAAGGGCTAGCGTGCCCTCATCATCAGTTCTACGGTCAACTTGGGCTCACCATCGATGGGGAGAGGTGTGTTATTCTGTTGCTGCTGCCATGCCTTTGCTTGTCTGTTCGATCGCTGTACATTAAGACTCCTCTCCCCTCCCCCCTGCTTGCTGCTGTTGGGCGGCTGCCATCGTCCTTGAAATATGCAGTTCAAACTCCATCCTACTGTGATTTGGCAATGCTGCACCTCTGTGTTGGATATTGGGTGGGCAGCAACTGTCAACACCTCTCATAGTTTCTGCATCTGGATTTTCTCTGGGCTTAGGATTGATATTGCTGCTGATGTGCCCCAGGCGTCTTCGCAGAACTTGGTGACCAGAGGCAAGCCTGCTTGGCATCAAACTGGCCTGAATGTTGACATGACTGGTGGTTTCTACACGGACAAATGGCTTCGCCCTGAATCAGTCCATGGTTTTCGTGTGACTGAGAAGCCCCGGCCTGGCTTGCACAACAGCAACGGGAACCCTGATTGGGGAGGCGTATGTGGAGCAAAGAAAATTTGTGGCTGCAGGGCCCCTGGTGCAGGCCAACAGATTGGCAAGTACTGGAATGGCCTAGGATGCAGGAGCAACTCTGGGCCCACCAACTGCCTGGATCTGGATCGGCGGCTGGCAGCGGTCCGTAGCAGGGGAGGTGTGGCAGGGCCATCGAACTTGGTGGCAAATGCTGTTGGTCCAGAGTCTGGTGAATGCATGGCTGGCTGTAAGGCTGTTGATAATTCCTGGGAGGGTGAGGTTGGACCTAAGCACCAGCCAAAAGAGGACGACTGGAGCGATGTGCATAAAGCGCGAGAGAGGGGCAGTGATGCCTCCAGCAGTTCAGACTTTGAGGACGCCGACCTGGCAGTCGACGCGCAGGACTGCAGCGATATGCAGACCACCAGCAAGTGCAGAAAAGGGCACAGTGGTGGCAAGAGCAGAGGTAATAATGTTGCTGGCATGGGTGGTCACCTGACTTCAGTCCAGTGGCACCAATCCGCACATTGCAGGTGCTGGAAGCAGGGAGGCGGGCAAAAGACCAAATGTCGTTGCCGGGGGCAGGTGTGCATTCCTCAGGCAACGCACAAGAACAAGTCTCAGGACAATGCAGGGTGCTTCAATCGGGTGGGAATGAGGCCAGTGGTCACAGTCCCCCGCAAAAGCTCCAAGTCAAGAGGCCGCAGGATTGAAGACAAGGGATGCTGGTCTGGGAGCCGCCAGGTCACAGGTGGCTGGAAATCTGGCGCTCCGGGTGGGAGGGTGGTCAGCCTGAGACAAGGGGCGTTCGGTGTGCCTGAGGCTGGCGTTTCATCGGAGGCTGCTCACAAGACACTTGGTTCTGAGCCAGTGCACAGATCCAGAAACTTGCCCAGTGGCCCTATGGACGGTGGCCGAGGTAACGTGCGCAACAGCGACCTGGGCGGTCATGGGAGGGGAAATCAAGAAAAGGGCGCGCATGGCACCCTCTTGAGCCCAGGCAGGATACACCGCGTTGAAGTTGCCAACCGAAAATTGCAGGGCAGCGTCCCAGCGAAGCCAACCAGACGAAATGGTGATGGCAAGGTGCTCAGCAAGCACCTCAGTGAGCCAGCTGCGAATGGAAGGCCGAGGACTTGCACACCAGCAGCAACAGCAAAGGTGAGGAATGCGGTGTCAACAAGGTGAAACTGGCAAGCACCAACAGTATTTTGATTATGACTCGTTTTGATTATGTCATGTCCAGCAAGCATCTTTGCTGCGATTCTTGGTGTTGCGCATCTCTGCACTGCAGGTTTGTCTGTCTGAGGCTGTTTTCCGGCTGCTGCATTTTCTGCTCAGCCTGCCTGCGCTGTTGCTGTGCAGAGCGCTGATGCCGTGGCTGACAAGAGGCGCCACAAGAAAAGAAACAAGAAGACGGCTGGTGGCGGACGCCAGCGGCACCAGCGAGCACCCAAGGTGGACACGCATGTGATTTCGACGTGAACGCTGAGCCCGGGTGTAGTCTGCACACCCAATAGGGTGTGAGATGGGGCTCAGCGAACACACGAAGTTTTGGATGGCCATCCAGCACATATCACGATTGCCGCGACTCTAATAACGTCGCGACGGGGCCAAAGCGAGTTCACACGACTGAAGTTCTCTTTGCTCCCACGTGGAGAGAATAATTTTGGCACTGCTCTGAGGGCTGCATACAGAGCATGGCCATTGAACCAGGATTTTGGGTAGATTGCCAGCCGATTCGAGAACGTGTAGGGGCTATGACAGTTAGGTATTGCGAGCGGCCAGACACATTTGATTCGACTATCGGCAAATTTTGCTTAATTTCGGTCTCTGAGCACAAATTCGAGGTGTAGGTGTCCACCTCGCCCTGTGTGGCATTACTGCTGATGGCGAACGGTGCTGATCGTGGGGCTAGTGGGCACGCAGGATCAGGCAGTGCGCCACGACTGTCTGAGTATTCATCGGGTTGCCTTGCAGCCATCCTCCCATGCAGCAGGCCGCCTGCTGCCACACACCTTCTGTGGCGTGCAGAGTACCTTCGTGTCCACTAAAGGAGGATAACCGCCAAGGGTGTATGGGGAAACGGAAATGATGATGTTGTCTCACTCCCACGCAGTGCTGGAGGTAGTGAACTGTTTGACGTTGCACCGGCTGCCAGTGTAATGCTGCTCATGCGCGTGCTCTGCAGCATGGCGCCCAGAGATCTGCATCAGTGGTGCTGCAGCGGTTTGCGGTGATGTGTCCCGGTTGCTGTCCTCTGAGGGCATCGTCCCTTGTGCAAAATGGGCAACTCTGGAATGATGGTGTTGGCAAATGCATGAGCGGGCTCATGCGCAGCCTCCGCAATGCGCCCGTCCATAAACCGTTTCAGGCAAACTGCTGCCTTCGGCGGTGGGAGGGCAGCATGCTGCAATGCGCTACTTCAGAGTGTGTCGCAGCATGCAATATGTTCTGCACTGCACAGGCCGTGAGAACACCCGAAGCCCTTGCAACTTCGATTGGAAGCAAAGTATCGTGCTAGATTTGATGAATCACAACCCGCCTGTTTGTCTGACTTGCTGTGCGGTCGGCAACGTCTCCCCAGGGGCTGTCTGAGAGCGACGTGGCCGGCAGATGACAGCAAACGCCCGCAACCCGATACCGTTCCGGGCAGGTCGCCACAAAGAATTCCCAGTGCCTGCAGTCCTGACCCAGGATTACACTGCATGCGACTGCCAACTGGGCATCACTTTCAAACTCCACAAGCGGTACCCCCCGTCACAAGCGATTCTCATTCTTTCCAGCGAAAACTTGACACCCTCTGATCCTGGCCAGCATGCTCATAATATTTGCTTAATGTGAGGAATGGCGGGGTATTGGTTCACGCGGGAGTTTTCTCCTCGCAATCGCTGATGCCTCAGAATGATTCTGCAATGATCCCGCCATGAGCCACGATCCAGGCCATGTGGAGCGCTGTCAGCTCCATGTCCCAACCATTCGCAACACTTGGAGGGTGCCGCCGACAGTGGAGCCGGCTCAGGAACGCCTTCGCTTCCGCCGCCGATGGTCGTCGCCTTCGCCGCTAGTGGTCGGCGGTCGCTGCCGGTGGCCTTCGCCGACGGCGACAACCTCGGCCATCCCAAAGGTGCCTTGAATACTCTCAGGCTTCAATGGGCCCCACAAGTGCCGATGATCGTCCATACTCTTGCTGAAAAACTGTTAAACGAGACATTGTTACTCAGAACTTCTGAGTCAGAAGTTCTTTCTGACCACGCAAGAGGCTGGCAGAGTTTGCATAATCTTGACAGAAATGCGGACCACGTTTCTCCAAACAAGATCCTCCCTTGGCGCTTTTGTGGGTGACTCCATTCTTTGCAACCACTGCTCTGCCCTTCTGAGGGCTGCATGTATCTAGCTGTGCATGTGCATAAAGTAGCCGGCAAGACGTTGCTCACCTTGGCGTTTGCAACACACGCACTCGTATGCCGTGTGTCCTCGTTGAATAGGCGCGCAAATTGCATGAGTTTGTCCACCCAGGGCTTTGCACGAGTCGAGTATAAACAGCAAATGCCATCCCAAAGCTCCAGGACGCTTGTCAGCCACCTGTGATCGCTCCCGAAATCATGCAACGTTCCTGGAGTGGACGCAACTGACCATTTCAAGAGGAACTATCCACTCTCGCGCAATCTTCCACATGCCAGCAAACAGCCGCTTCGGACGTGCAACAGGCAAGAACGCTTCGAACAAACTTTTCCCGCACTGGCCGCGCGAGTACTGGCCGGAACTCCCAGCGAAGAGCTACATCTCTAACAATCCTGAGTGCGATCCAACATCGGGGCAGAGCATACGTAATGTACGTTATGACTCCTGAACAAGCGCTTAAAAACGTCAGACTGTCAGACCATTTCTGGGAAATCATCTGCAAAAACAACTTTCAATACAGAGTGCGTCGCACTGGTGCAATATGGAGCACAAGCACGGCGAGCATTGCGCGGTTTGGCACACTCCAAGCACGGTTTTCAGTGGTGATGTAGGCTTTGCTCAAACTAATAATTGTGTGATCGCGGACAGAAACAGTGTGAAGTGGGTCTGTGTTGCCAGCGGCAATATACCTGCCTTCCTCCAAAGTTTCATGGAGTCTAAACAGACTTGCAGAACATCTTCGATGTCTTTGTGCAGTTGCTTATCGTCCCCAGTATACCTACACAGCTCACCACACGACAATCAGCAACGCTGCGCACGGTATGTTTCTGGTTGATCCATTTTATGCTCATGGAGGGTGTCTCCAAGTGTAGGGCGACTCTCAAGTTCTCTGGTCACAAAGAAAGACATAGGAGAATCCGATCAGCATTGCCCTGTGCAATCAGCGACGCCAATGCATTGTACGTTCCCAGGCCAGTCCAGAATCTTCCTCAATACGGCGCTGATGTGACTCGGAAACACTTCAGATGCTGCATCCAGTAAATACGTTGTCATTGGATGCGTCATGGTGCGTCGGTTCATCTGTGTGGTTGCGTCAGTTCAGCTAGTCTTTGTCTGCAATGCTGATACCACTAGGAGATTCCTTGCACCTTGCATGCCCTGACGCGTCTCCATGCGATTTCGGAAGAACCAAGGATGAGTTCTCAGCAGCTAGAATAACACAGTGCAGCCTAAACCCCAGCGAAGCCCTCAACACTGCAATTAAAGCCCTGCATCCCCTCGAACTTGCCTTCCACCCAACTGAAACTAGTGCGCTGCATGATAAGGGCAGCCAAGAATGAGCTCACACAGTTTCACGCGCATTTGCTCGCTTGCCGCTCACTTGTATTGCCTTAGCACCGCGCTGCCAGCATCGGACCCAAGGAGCTTCCACGCGCGTTTCAATTTTGCGACCACCGCGTCCTCAACCTTGCTTCCACAAAGGGGAGCCGCCTTGTCGCGAAAGAATGCCGCACTACGGGTCAGGTACCCAAACAGGTACGAGTAGGGGTACCAAAGCCGCCCTGACCCGCTGCCCTCCTGCGCTGAAAGACTGATGGCCTCGTCGAAAAGACCCTTCACATCGTGAAAGGAACGCAGTCAGCACATACGCAACAGGGCTGCTTGTTGGATTGGGAGAGCAAGTGGTTGCCTAAGGTGCACGGTGTTCATATTTATTGCGGTGCTCATGGCCTCCAAGCGCAAAGTATCCTGTGTGCCATACGAAGTGCCGCTTTACTTTTAATTAAGAAAAAGACCCAAAACCAGTCAATCAAGCCTTGGGTGCAATGGATCAGCAGGGATGCTAGCCAAAACAGGTTGCCAGCCAAAACAAGTATTAGCGTGGTCTCCACCTGCAGCGTGCACGTCTGTCAGCCATACTGCAGCCAAGATGAGTGCTGCTAGTTTCTGATGCCAGCGCATCACTGAGGTGAGCTCCAAGTCATGCATTGAACAAAGACCAACATTTTCTCGCTGTCAAGGCCACGGACGCACGGTGCAAAACTCGGGGTTCAATTGATGCAAACACCCCGCAGAGAACTTGCTCGGAGGTCAAACATCTAAGGTCGTCCTGAGCCGCATCCCAGCAGTCTGCCGAGTTCTAGCAGTGAATTGTACCACAGCACATTCTTCATAGACCAACTACTCACGCCCGTAGCAGCAAATGTTAGCTGCACATTAGTTCCACACTAGAGTAGTGTCGCGTATTGTGTCTCACAGTACGCCATAATCTGATGTAAGCCAACAATAGAAGCTTCGCTTGCGCGTACCTGTACCACAATTTGGGGCGGGCACTTTGGTTTGCAAATTGAAGATCAATTCCTCGAGTCACAGCCCACAACAGAAATTATATCGATACCGTGCATCATTTTGCGATATTGCTGACTGATTTTGCTTGTTTCTACAAGGAGGGAGAGTGCTTACACCGATCCAACTACCAAAATAGACACGGGGATTAATGCAAGCCGACCCGGAGCCCCAGCAGAAACCCGCTTCCAAGAGATTCTTGCTCTTTTGCGATGTCGGGCAGCAGGAGTTCAGCGGTTGTCTGTTTACCACAATGTCGGAATCGCCTTGATGCAAGGACGTCTCCAGTTTCATCACATCGTTTGCCAAAGCCGCTCCTTCCAGGTCGTCCATCCAAGCAATCTGCAATGCACCATCGATGGAAAGATGCGCAGTGCGCAATCAGCCAGTGCCCAATTCATGTCACTGTTCCACTGTTTGGCACAGTGAATCATGGTAGAATTTGTGAATACTGCACATGCTGACCTGGCGACCATGCATACTGAGAAAGAGCCACATAAACGAATTGAATGTCAAAACCCGGGCCAGGCTGTGTGCCAATGCAACAATTGTCGAATTGGGCTGCTTCTGATAATCATCAGAATTGCAGATGAAACAACAAGCATGGGAAACTGGGCGTTGAATTGGGCGAGCTGGGCGCTAATGCTGCAGCAACATTCCACACTACCAGGGCAATTTGGCAGCAAAGATTATCGCCCTGACCAGGATCTACTTCCTCCGCCCCATATTAAATGTCCTCTATTTGAAGTACAAAATTCATTACAAGGAAGGCTTCAAAAGTATAAAACAAGGTCAGAATCAGAAAGATTGGGTCCCAAAACCCGTAACTACCAATTTTTGAGGGAAAAAAGTTAGTCCCACTCCTTGAAGGGCACCCTCGAAATTGCCCTTGAATTCGGCAAAAAATGGGCACACCAATTCCAATGCCGCTGGATATCCGCACGGTTCTGGGTCACTCCCGTCCCGGGCAACCAAGGGGAAGGCTTCGCCGCTGCTGGGGTGAAGGGTGGCATCCCTTGCGTGGAATAGCGCTGGTCAAACATGCCTGGCGGTATTTGGATCGTCGTTGCCGAAGGCCATCGTTGCAACGTCGACGATGCCAGAATTCGCTGCCACCCTAGATCCGAGATGCAAGGACCTGCCACCAACTGAATTAGCCAAGATCCAGGGCGCTCAAGCCTGAGACCTGTGCGCTGTACCACTCAAAGGTATTTGTGCGGCTCGGCGTGGGCATCTTGCCTCAATTGATCCTTGAATCAAGGCCATCCCGGGCAGCTTGGCCCACGATCCATGGGATGCCACTAACAACCACCTCTTTAGTGCGGTGCACCATCCACCACCATCTAGCTAGTCTCCGTTTGTGAAAAAAACATGACGTTAGCCATCTAGCTGTTTGCCTCGTGCCTAGCCGTTTCAACTTCCACAACAAACTCAATTTCGCCAATTTCGCGTTGACAGCAATTCCCACAATCGGCCACCGCTGAATGCTGTGCTGGGCTTCACCTTCTCTGCCGCCTTGTCAGGGGGTTTCAGAGTCACCCTTTGTTGTTTTGACAACACCAACAGGGGACGAAAAGTCCTGGCCCCGAAAATTTTGGGCCGGAAGGTAGCTCCGGTCCACCAGCCCAGCACTGAATTTCAGCTCTAATCTACGGCGAGCTACACAATCAGGGCCTTCAGAACGCGATTGCTATCGCCGCACTTCCTCACAAGCACCACGCCGATCTTTTGTCTCAATGGCGTGGATAGTTCTGCACGGGCGGCTCTGTTTCGCCGCCGCGAACGCATGCTCCTCGAAACAGCAAAAACGGCCGTTTTTGCGAAATCATTGAAAAACCGATGGGTTTCTGGCAAGAGGACCCTTGCTACAAAGTACTGCCAAATCATCAATACTTAACAGATTCACTTGAAATTTTGACCGTGTACTCTTAAAAGGAGATACAGATTTGGATAAAATTTCACTGAAAAAACTGTAAGATATGATGGAGAAATGATGCTCCAAATTCGTAGAGGACATTTAATATGGGACGGAGGAAGTACATCACTGAACAACCACATGAACAACATTACAATTGCACACCCATCCGTGCCAAGTGTCCAGTCGCTGCATGCAGTTAGCTCACCTCCTTGAGGTCTGCCAATGTGCATAAGGAATTCGGGTACATGAGCTGACGAAATTCGTCTTGCACAACAGAAAGCAGCCGGTGTTGAATGGCTTGGACCTCTTCCGAGTCGGTCCCAGTGACTGGTCGATTGTCTGCATGCATAGGTACACTGCATTGTTGCCTCATGATTGTAGCACAATCCATAAGTGCTCTTGCTTCATTCCTTTGTTGGAATGAACATACATAGGCACAGATGATTACTGGTGCATGAGTTGTGTCCTATGTTAATGCCATGCATCACCAAAAGCAGACCCCATCCGCTCTCTACAAAGCCAGATGCCAGATGATGGCACTGGAACAGTGTCTATGATGTCAACCCACGATCAGCCCTGGATAAACAGTGCATTTGCATTGTTATCCTTTGCTGACTTGCCAGGGTATCTACACTTGGATGCAAACGTGGAGATCCATGGCAGTGCGGATGTATGCGTTGACCTGTCTGTGCAAAACATTTGACAAGTGTGTGCAAATAGGGCAGCAATGGCATTGCAGTATAGAACTTCAACCCTCTGAGCGAACTCCCACCTATTGCTGCATTCATGGATGTCAGCGCAGCCACGATGGCTCTCTGAGGTGTGCACACAACTGGGTGGCCACCATTGTACAGCCACCCTGACCAAGCATCGCCTTCCACTGCTGCCCCCCTCTTATGTTTGTTGTCAGTGGACACCTCGACACTGCCTTCCCTATCCCCAAAAGGCGATAGGTTCAGCAAGCAATGGTCCTCGCAGATCTGCACAGCACCATCCACTCCACTGCTTCATTGGGCCTCAGGGGGCCACACACTGTCAAGGTGGTTTTATGATTGGAGATGTACCACCCATGGGCATCAGGCTGCAGAGTCTAAAAACAAACTTCTGGGTCAAATTCCCACTCGCACTGCATCTGAACAGGGGCCAAATAGGTGTGGCATTTGGAAATGATGTCCTGTTGAGAAGATGCTGAAGCTCAGCCAGCACGTTGCCTCCACACAAGTGAGGAATTTGCATTCCGTGCAACCACCAAAAACTGGTCAAGGGTCAGACTTCATCCCCATAAAAATTGAGGAGCAATCTCACAAGCAGGTTCACTTTGCAAAAAGACTTCTCAGCCCAGATCAGCATCGTGTCCTAATGTCCCAGGGGCTTGAGGGCAATGCCACTGATGGCAATATAGGCGCCCACTAGTGCGCCGCTCAGCAAGGGTTATATGGTAAACATCGCCCAACAGAAACTGCAGTACATGTCTTCACAGAACAAACAAGGAAGGTGGCAGACAGCACGTGAGGTTTATTGCCAACTCCAGAACTGTTGGAAACAACATCCAGCATGAAACAATCAGACTCTTAGCAGATGCTCATAAGCACTGGCTCACAAACGCTTCTCTTCCCTCGCCAATCGGCCAAACCTGCACCCTGAGTTGCTTGAATGATGCACAGTTGCAAGTATTTCCTGCTTTACAGATTTAAGTACAGTGTGGCAACAAAGAAAGAAAGTGCTCCATTTTCATGGGGGAATCCACTGGAGATCTGCACGTGGCTGAACCAAAAGACATAACCAACAAATAGTTGCTGGGTAACCTGGGGATTGAGAAAGAGCAAAGAGCAGGTGGTTCCTCATGAACACCATCAACACAGCACCACCAGCATCAAGTCAACACCATTATGTGTGGAAGTTGGTATCTAGGGACATTTTTGGCCAATGTATGGCTGCTCAATATGAGCCAATGCACACTTGCCCTTTTCCGACATAAACAATCTGGTCACTTCTGCATTTGTACATTCCCACAGATGATTGACTCTATAGTTCATTTCAAGCAATCTCACATCGTCCTCCCACCTGCATGACTATATCTTTGAGGTCATCGTGTCCAAAGCGATTGGCAAGATAATTGCAGGCTGCAAGCACGGTTGTGACAATTCCCGCACAATCCAGCAGCCTGTTTCCCCGGGAACTATTCAAGATGTATGATGTGAAGCAGCTCACATGCTGGACAGAACATGACAAACAATCAGACACCGATCTCCTGTTTTGCGCAGCTGACAGATACAAATGTTATTGTGGCATTAGCTTTTCTGCCAGAGACAACTTCCACATTGACCAGCCCACCCACCACAACATGCAACACGAGATACAACACAATAGGAATTCAGCATTTGTGCGCATTTCCACATAAGCAGCTTTTGCTGGTGTCCTGTCAAACATCAGAGAATTTCAGTTGCAAAGACAGCGGCAGTCACCTGTGCATGGATTATGTCCTTCCTGAAGCCGCGTGTCAGCCGTTCCCAGACTGAGTTGGCAACCAGGGTAACTTTGTCCTGACGACCACAATGGGCAATAAAGATTCACAACTCTGCACCACATCGAGTCCTGTGCATTACTGCTGAGGGGACAAACGTGGCAGAAATTCTTTTCCATGCAACTGCTGTTGCAATTGCTTGTTCCACTCATCGAACTGAATTGATGAGTGACTTGGTTTCACAAGCACGCCTACCAATGCAAGCATTGTTCATGCCCAACAAGCTGATACTGATTCCCAAAAGCATATTGATTTCAGTGGCAGGTGGGAATACAGCACCCACTGTGATGCACTTCTGCAGGTATCATGTGAGGGTAGTGGTTGGGCACAGCAAGGGGACCTACCCTGGGAGTCCGAATAGCTGTATGACTTGCCCCTATTTTCTTGCTGGTGCATTCAACGAAATCCATGAACACAGCCACATGTTGGCTCACTTCCTCCTGCAGGTACAAAATGTCAATCATTTGGTGCCAAGGCGAAAATGTGCATCCCCATCTTTGGTGTGTGTACATCTGGCAGTTGTCAAAAGGTGCTGTCACTGCATAGCATTGGATCTTGTCCTTGCGTGAATTGGATTCTTGGTGTTCAACTGTTGCCGATCTCAGTGGTCTGCTGGTGTGCAAACAGCTGCTTGAAACACTGAAGGGAGGCTGCTACTGTTATCGTTACGAGATTCTGTGGTGGCATGGCTTCTACTACACGCTTGAAATAAGCCAAGTGGATGGTGTTGTGTCCAGATTTGCACCACAGCAGTTCGAGTTGTTTTCTACCTTCCCAGAAAGAAGCAGATTGGCAGATCTTTGTGCGTCAGTCTGTTTCTTGTCACCTGGGAAGGTGACGGCAAGCCTTTTGTCACCACACAGACTTCATGCATACATTGGAATGGTAACAGCTTGACAATCCAGCAGTGTGTTTAATGTACTATCTGGAGGTCAGTTTGACCGGAATTCCTTCAGGCAGACAAACCTGTGCGGTTAGGCATATAGAGCGCCAGGTGTCTTTGGCGCTGTTCCAGTGCATCCTAAGGTCTTTTCGTACGGATTCGGTTGCTGTGAAATGGAACCAAACACTTTGTGACAGCACACTCTTGGACAATGCTCGGAAGCATGGATCTGCCCTTTGGATGGTCGCAATGCCAGGGTGACCTCTCCTGCTCGACGATTGAACCCGGTGTGACCCACGCACCACACACAAGCATGGTTTCCCACCCCTTCGACTGCAACGGTCAGGGCGTCACATCGTGAATTCCCTGTCCTGGCGACCCCGTCCAATAAAAGACAGGACAAGGCGATGCTGACCGCAAGCGCACGGGACGGTACCTCCAAGTTGATGGGCCAAGTGGGCTGCTCAACGTTCTTCAACGTGAGGGGCAGCTCCACGAGGCCAAGCGCGATGGACACGCGTGCCACGTCTGGCGCCTGGCTGGAAAGCTCTGCGCGCAGCAGGTCTTCAAGGAATCTGACGCAGCGGTCGCGGGCAGTGCCAACGCCCTCCCCGCTCGCGCCGCCCGTCGGTCCAGACATGGGACACCCCGTGCAAGTGACCCCCACAACCGGCAGACGCCTGCCTTTGTGCGATGGACAGTCGTCCCATTCTGATGGCCTTGTAGCCGAGCGGCTACCGTCGGCCTCGCATGAGCAACGCGGCGGAACACAGAAGCAAATAGACGCCGTTTGGCCATCCTGTATTGGCATGCATCCTTCTCTGCAATTTCCCACAATGAACCCCCCAGGATTCCACATGCATCTACTGCGATTACCAGGCATTAGTATCCATGACGCTGACGAAGGCAGGCAGGGTCGAGGGGTGGTGATCCTTGAACGGGAATTGTACGCTCGAGTCCACGACAACGGTTTACAGCCGAGGCAAATGGACAACAAGCGTTCTGTCTTTTGTATTCAGTTCGTTCATCAACATCCTTGATGCAATTCCCAATGCTTCATCATCTTTTCATACATTCAATTATTAATAACACTCAATCAGTTCCAGCTGTAACAACGCTGTGTTAGCATTCCCCATTTAAGTGCTGGGCCTGTTGCGCCACCATGATGTATGGTTGATGGCTGCTTGGCGCTTGCCGACACGCCTCCCAATTTTGTGCGGTCTCTAGTTGGTGGGGAAGGAGGCTGGTTGCCGAGCAGCCACAGGCCTATCGGAAGTGACAGATTGACGGGCAGTGCAGTTTTGACGTGCAGATCGAGCGTGGAGCTGGCGACATGCATGTGAATGGAGGGAGCACCCCAAACGTGGGTAGGATGGAAGGTGGCGATCGGCCTCACGGCCTCACTTAGCTGGGCCGAATGGAAATGTTGGCTTTGCAATAGCAGTATGGATCTTGAATGTTTTAATTTTGGTAGCTTTCTGTAGCTTCTCGGCAGAGGTTTCTGTAGTTGAGACAAATGTGCATCGCATTGGTGGGGTGGGTGCACCTTGAGTATTCCACGACACTCTGGGGCCTGAGGTCGCATGCATGCCCCGATATATTTTGGTTGGGTCCACACTCGCGGTCAGTCTCCGCCACTGCCTGACAGACTGCAGCAATGTTTCAGTGCAGATGGTAAAGAGGATGTCTGACCTGGGATCCAACCACGTATCACTGGGTGGGATGTCCCACTGCTCTGCCAAACCACCCTGACCAGAGCTAGGAAGAGGGCAGCCCAACCAACCCCTACCACCCAACGCCCACCAACCCACGGCATCAGCCGCCACGGCGCCCAATTTCGGATAGATGCTCATTTGCCGGGGCCGCACCCACCTCCTGCCTGCCGGCGGCTTCAAGGCTCGCAGGAGATCCAAGCCCCGGCTGCAGTCGCCGCTCTGTGGCGCCCCGCGCTGCCGCCGAGCGGGAACACCCGTCCCCAGTCCCTCCCCCCCCGCCTGCCCCGTGCTCGTCAGAGACCCCGCTTTCGCGCTCCCCGCGACGGCGTCCCGTGACCCTCCCAGCAGCCACCGCCAGGAGGGCGCGGAGGCACGGACGATGGCCGACGGCCCCCAGAAGCGCTCCGCCAGTGATGCGTTCGAGGCGCCGGCGGACGACCGCTCCTCTAAGAACCCGAGGCTTGGTCCGTAATGCAAAACCTCCGCCCGCCGAGTGTAGCCGTCGCCGCGCGGGCGGGCGGGGCCGGCTGCCGCCCCGCCTGGGCGCGCCCGCGCCCGGCTGGAACTGAAGCCGCCTGCGTTCCCTGTCGTCTGTGCAGACAATCTCGAAGCGCTCGATGCGGCGGTTCGCGTTAAGTTGCGGTCGATGTTTGAGGAAGAATTGGTGAGTGGGTGCGCCCCGCGCGCCGCGGCGCGGGAGCCTTGGGCGGCAGTAGCCGCGCCGCGCTGCCGGCGCTGACTCGCTGAAAAAAATGGACGGGACCCGGCGGCGCCGCAGTCCGCCTGTGGCTGCTCTTGCGCGGCTTCGATTCGCAATTTGACCCGGACATTGTTTCGGGCGGCGCTTGGCGCAAATCGGGGCCACCGCGGACACGGTCGCGCCCTTTCGGCCGCAGGCCGACCTGTCGGCACTCCGACGCTGTGTGGCACTCGCCCTGCGTCCTGAATCGCCGTGCGCAGTGGACTTCAGACCACCCCAGCTCCGTGCATTCGCCCTCCCCCCATTCTCTCCTGCTATTGCCGCCTCGAATTTCAAACTCGCACCTCCCCAGGCATCGCGCCCGCAGACGCGGGCCACCGCCTTCCCAGTGCCCAGTCGCCAAAGCCGAGCTTGCCTGCCTGGCGACCACACCCCACGCTCGCCAGTGGCGTTCCCCTCCCCGGAATGAGCGCCGCGGTTGTCAAAGGGATTCCCTGACTCGACCCATGAGCGGGGCGCGTGGGCACCCCGGGCGTTGTGCCCGGCGCAGAAGAGCGCGGCAAGCCAGGGCTGGGGTGGTTGCGCTGGGGCCCGCGATGTCGCCTTGAAGACGGGCCGGGCCGCGGGGCACCTTCTGGCACCTCCTTCGCGGCGGGTGACCTGCAGGGCCCCTGCGCCTTGCCCCTGCACCTGTGTCCAAGACGGAAGAGTTGTGGGCGAGTTGTGGCCGGACAGAGGCGCATTGACTGCTCGTGGCCGGCTCCTTTGGTCCGTCGTACGGTTCTGTCACGCCTATAGCCATCTGGCGCGCGATGGCCTTGCTCAACAACCAAGAGCCGCCCCCAAGGGCCCCCAAGTTGCCCCCAAGTTGTTGCCGCTCGTTCAGCCTTGAAACTGACGGCTTGACCGCGGGCCGCAGGTAAAAGAGGAGGACATCGACGACAAGGCGCTACAGCACCTGCGAGAGCTGGACCCCGACAAGGCGCTGGACGCCCTGGACCAGTACAGCAAGTGCGACCTGGCCAAGGTGCGCAAGAAGAGCGCCTACCTCATCGGCGTCATACAGCGCATGAAGAAGGCGGAGGCCGGCTGGGGCGGGCGGCCCGGTGGGGCCTCCAACGGCCACCTGCCGTGCGAGATGCCGCCGGAAGTGGGGGCGCGCGTGCAGAGGATGTTCGCCGACGGGGTTTGCAGGCCGGCGGATCTCGACGCGCGCTGCTTGGAGCAGCTCGCCAAGGTGCCTGTGCACGTCGCCGTGGAGGCCGTGAACCAGTTTTCCAACAGAGACCTGTCGGACGTGCGCAACTGCTCCGCGCTGTTTGTGTCCATCGTGCGCAAGGTGCAGCGCGACTGCGAGGGGCGGGGCGTGCCGCCCTCGAACCAGATCCAGGGCAACCTGGCACCGGGGCCACCGGGGCTGCCCCTGGTGGAAGGTGGGCCGGTGGGGCAGTTCCAGCTGCAAGGGGGGTTGGAGGTCCAGCAGGTGCCCGGCCAGGTGGCGGTCGCTCAGATGCCCATCATCGCCCAGATGGGCTTCCCGCAGAGGCCCGTGGCCATTGGCGTCGGGCCGGCAGCAGGCAACGGAGCTGTGTATGATCCCCTGGAGCCGTCAGCCATCACCCCCCCCATTGTGGCAGCCAACCTGATTAGCCCCTTGAATCAGGGCCTGCCAGGCGTTCCGGGTGTTCTGGGAGTCCCTGGAGTGATGGACAGGCGCAACTATGGGATGGAGCAACTGCAGATGGGCGTGCGGGTGGATGAGTTCCATGGGCTGTCCGTGTTTGCAACCTATGTGCACCCTGCGCCCGCCCTCAAGCTGCAACAGTTGTGGGACGAGGGCGTGCGCCTTGTGTCCCTGCTGGACGATGGGGCATGGGACTGCCTTGCATCGCTGAAGGCGGCGGAGGGCTTGGCGGCGATAGAGGAGGTGGTGGAGAACATGCAAGGGCCCAACAACTTGAGGAATGTGAATGCCTTCTTCATGGTGAGTGCATCGCTGATGATTGTGCGCTCCTATTGTGTGGTTTCAGGTGTTGATGAGTTGTTGCAGGCCATGGACATTTGTGAACTCAGGCTCTTTCGAACAGGGAGGTTCTGTTTACTACAAATGTTGGCTGCCCTGTGACAATGGAAGTTTGCCAATACGAATGTGATCATAGTGGCAGTTACAACTCGAAACAGTCAATGGCAGAAACTGACACAGCTAGGGCAGTGCAGCTTTTTGTTGTGTTGTGCTTATCATTGTGCGGCACCTGCATGGCGGTGAGGTGATCTGCACAGCTGAAGTGAGGAAGATTCTAGGAGGTGCTCACAAGGTTTTCACCTTGGATTAGTGTCCCTTGAGTGGGCGTTGCTGCACTTGTGTTCGCCCCCAAGTCGCGCTTTGTTGTGTTGGTGCATGTGCAGTCTGTAGCTCGTCGCTATTTGCCGCCCAATAACACCCGAGTGTCTGGCGCTGCCGCCAGCGATCGCCAAAACACGATCGACTTGAGCACCCGTAGGATCGTCCGCGCTGTGCGGCAGTCTCCCAAGGGTGTCGTTGGAGACTTGGAGGGCCTGTTCCCAGAGGTTCAGGAGAAAATCTCAGAGGTGCTGGGCCTGCACCCAAACTACATCACGATCACCGACTTCGATCAAGGAGTTGTGGAGTCGCTCAAGAGGCTGCCAGAGGGCGACGCTATAGGCGTCATCGACGATCTGGGGGCGCAGAATTTGACAAACGTAAACAACATGCCGGCTTTCATCATGTCCATCATCCGAAGGCGGCAAAGAATGGCAGCCCAGTAAGGGGAAAAAGGGGTTTGTGGAAGTCCATTAGTGCGTGCTGGCACATGTGACCGATTGGGCGACTCGCAGCATTGGTTGTCAGCTTTATTTATCATTGTCTGTTACCAGGGGGAATGTTTGGTTGACTTTATTTGCAGGTTTGGGGCTGGGCTCTAGCACAGCACAATTGGGACCCCGTCACTGCATCGTTCTCAACTGGTGGTTGTGAACGTGGGGGTGAACATGTTTACTTTGTTCTTCTTTTCAGTCGGTCCCCTCATCAGAATGTAAATCAGAATGGCTGTTCCACTGCATGCAGCGAGATTCGAGGGACATGCTGCTGGTTTCCGAGATCCAATGACATTACAATCAGACTGATGGCGCACATTGTGCTGCCGCTTCTGGGCAACGGGCTTGCGTTTTGTCGTGTGCTATGAAAGACGGTCTGTGTGTAGCAGCATGCAAGCTGGCCTGATGCAAGCAGAGTGGCACGAAACAGCGGTTGTGTAAATTCCCTGGGTTTGATTACTCATGCTTGGACGTCACTGCGGGTGCATTTAAGTGAGGAAATTTGTCCCAAAGGCAAAGCGTTTCCCCTGTCGCCTTGCCCCAAAACGAAGCTGGCTTGTGACGGTACTGTCTGGGCTTTGCACACTGGCAATTTTGAATGACCGTCCAAAACCCTTCTCCAAAGTTCAAGATCGAAACGTACCGATACGTCACCCTGAAGCGTTCCCCCAATTTGGGACTGATACCGCCGAGCGATGCTAGATATCGGATCGAAACCAACCTCGTGGACGAGGATGCGCCTGTTGTTACTTTGAATGTACAATGGTAGTGCTTTGTCATGCGTCGACAAATGCAGAAACACATTGATGAAGAATCAAGACAACCCCGTGATTATGGTGCAGGTGCGCTCTGATCGGCCCAGTGCATCGTCCATTGCCACAATTTGGCGTTTGGACCATGGCCTTCATGCCATTTGTCTTGAACAATCTGCGCGTGGCATTGTTTTTGTCATTGCTAGCAAGGGAAGACACTATTTTAATTTTTGTACGCTCAGCGTCAAATGGACACTAAGGAGGGAGGGGTAAAGGCTGTGGGCGCTAAGAGATTACACAATTGCACTAAATTCACTATCAGGTGGAAAGATGGACAAAAACGCAGCTGATCAACCACGGCAGACAGCCCATGAACTGTTCCCAAATCTCCGTCAAGTCAGTCCTTAAGCTCTTAAATCGTTAGCTCTTAAGATGGATCAATTTGCAGCTTTGGGGGCTCGCCCCATCGCCTATCATGGCCTTTAGCATATCATTTTGCAACCCGCTACAATCCCTAAGCTTTGGCAGCCTTTTTTCCCTATAAAACTTCTGGAAACTGATTCCACTGCTGGGTAAAGTTGCTGAGTCATCCTGGTATCGAAATAAGGATTGATGCTAAGAAGGAGGGCAGGGGGGAAATATGGGGGGCCCGAGCTTACCGTCTATTTGACGCTAAGTGTACAAAATTCAAAGGTGCCGGGGCTCCTTCCCTTATAAGGTGGAACAATTTTGACGGCAATGAACCAATACTCAGCAACTGTACTTGAAAATCCTGTTCGAATGGGCAACATATGCAAAACTCCAGGATGCTTATTTAGCAGCACTTCGTGTTGGCGCATGCCTGTGTCGCAGCCTGACATATAAACGGACAATGTGGTCGATGCCGTTTGGGACCAGGAGCCACATCTATTGCCACCATTTTGGCCTTTTGGGGACATGAGGGCAAGGGCCCCTTCGCCCCAATTAGGACGGGTGCTCCAGCTGTATGTCGAAGTGTGCAAGGAATGGCTCTGGCCAACTAGGATCGAGCGAGAGAGAAACAAAGAAAAGCTTTTCAAGATTTGCGCATCTCCATCATCGCCTTCAAGGTGCAAAGACCCCTGTCAGTCTGCTTTATGAAGGAATTTGGCTACCGTGCTGTAGCATTGTGAAATAAATTCCCTGCATGCAGGATGCAGGAGATGCGCATCAAGGACATCTGAAGACAATTTGTCTCTGTGCACTAATCAGCATTTGTCGTTACGCTACTTCGGGTGGCCATTCAGCTCCACATTTGCGGGTTGTGATGGATTGGATCACCAGCAAGGGCAGTGTAGTCCTTGGTTGGTTGGGCTGCTGCCACTCTAAGACCTCGATTACCCCCGATTCTTCAGTGGATTTGACAATGGGATGCAACGTGCTCCAAGCTCACGCCTCCTGCAACAAACGCAATCACCGATCTCTCATGAGGGAACAAAACCCAACGTCCACAGAGTTGCAGGGACTCTTGCTGTTGAAGGTGCCCATCGCGCGAACGCCCTGGACAGATGCCGAAGAAGATTCCAGACACTATTTTTTATAAATAAAAAGCAAATACTTCAACAGCGTGCGGCCTGCTACTCATAGTGTCCCACTTGCTCCCAGCCTATTCTTCTCCACCTTTCGACATGAAGACCGCGCAGTCCACTTCGCCATCCTCGGCATCGCTGCAGCTCTCCAGCCACAACGCTGGCTTTTACTGTTTTACACTTTACAGTGTTACAATATTGTTGTTGACACTAATGTTCAGGGGGTGGCTGGTCTCATGCGCACGAGCCAGCCGCGCCGACAACAGTAGACAGGGGAATTGCTGCACCTCTCCGCGCTGCCCGCCCGCAGGCTGCCGAACCGCATACATCCCGCACATAAGATACCAAGTGGGCCACCGCGCTCTGCGAAATCATAACCTGTTATGTGTCCGTATCTACTGAAACACACAACTCTTGTTTCTTCTCCATCCTAATTACAATGAGGAAGCAGCGAAAGCCGGACCGTCCCCGCGCTGTTGGCAATCACGCGGTGACGTCACCCACAATCATGCGGGCGCGTCATCCGCGGCCGGCACCTCGCTGGTCCTTCGTGCTTCCCGTGGATTGCCGCCTGCGGCCGCACATTACGAAACCCCGCGCAATGCCGCACCGCGCCGGCCTCCAGATCGCCGCAGCTGCCGAGCCTTGGCGCCCGCCCGCAGGGCGCCCCGGAGGCCTCGGAACCTTAGGCCCCGCCATGCTGCCCCCTGCGCCGCCCAGGCGACAGCGGGCTCGGCCTGGACAGTGATAGTGACGGGAGCCATTCATTGAAGCAGCGCATTTGGGACCCCTCCGCCGCTTCCGAAAGGGCGCGCCAGACCGCCGGCCGGGACCATGAGCTCACAGGTCAGCTGCCGCGTCGACGGGGACGGACGGGAGACGGGGGCGCCCGCAGGCACCGGTGGTTGAAACACGCTTTGCTGCGCACGCGCAGGAGGGGAAAATCGGCAGGACGGAATCTTCCTCCATCGGGCTCAAGTCAAAAAAGGTCAGCGTTCACGCCGCCGTCACCAATACCGCACTGTGCAGCGGACCTGTCCAGTCACAGCTCTTGTGCAGGCGTCCTGCGGAGGCACAGGTCCTGCCCAGGCGACCTGTGACTGGACAGGACGGCCCGACATCCACGCGGCCAGGTGTGGAACCCCGCGCGCGGCGGAGGCCCCGGGCTGCGCAGAACGCGGTGGACCGGCAGAGGACGCCAATGTGTGTGTGGTGTGCCAGTTGGACTTGGACCCATGCAAGTTGAAGGACTTCCAGATGGGGAAGGTGCTGGGGACGGGCAGCTTTGGGAGGGTCTACTACGCCCGTCACACCGCGACGGGCACGGTGTGCGCGATCAAGGCCCTGTCCAAGTCGCAGGTGTTGAAGAACGGCCAGGTCAGACGGCAGCCCTGAGATCTGCTCGAACACAATGGGGTATTGATGGCCCATATTGCGACCTTGTTGGGACAGTGGGGACCACACAGCGGCGGCTGTTCGACCCGCTACGGATACGACAGCCCACCACTGGGATTTCAAAATATTTGGGTGGGCGACACTTCAGCAGGACCTGAATGAAAGCGTCTGAATAATCTGCTGTCCCCTTGGCTATGCCTTGGTACACGCCAATCCACCACCTCCCATCGCTGCTAGCAGCAAAAACGAAAAGCAATGTTGTTGTTCGGCTTGCTGCTATCCTTAATTTCAACAAAGTAACATCTCTTCTGGAGGCAGTCATCATCAGGGCACAGCAGCAGCAACACGTTCTGAAGAAGCGGGCCTGCAATTTGTTTTCTTGAGAAAGACTTCAATCCATAGCGAAGAAATGCTGACAAACAATATCGCCTTCGTATGCCACGGGCCATACCATGCGCCTCTTGTAGCCATGGCTACACGCGCCTTGCCCATCAGCATTCGCAACCATGTTTATCACATCCTTTGAAAGTCAACTTGAGCTCAAAACACATATGCGCGTCGCACGAATTATGACGTACGCTGGAATAAAACCCGGGAAAATATTCTACCAAGCAAGCACTTCATTTGATTTAGGTCATCTTGTACAAAAATACTGCTGAGATTCCCGATCCGCGTGGACCAATCCGGTCGGCATGGCCCAAGCGGACTAGTAATATGCACAAATGGCTGATTGCACTAAACAGACGGGAGAGCAGGGGAACTTTTACCAGGTGCCCTATGCACGCAGTAGTGCGCCAACGACGTCCGTGGATACAAGTTCCAAATCCTCCAAGCCTGCCGTGAGTTCACAGCAGAAAGCAGGGTTTAATGCATTCTTCCTCTGGGACACTCTGTCACTATACACACCGTGCGCTTGTGCAGCTGCAGCACCTGAAGGAAGAAAAGAACATATTGTCCAATGTGGACAACGCCTTCCTCATTCGGCTTCTGGGGTCCTTTCAAGACAAGGACTGCGTGTATCTGGTCATGGAGTTTGTGCCGGGCGGGGAATTTTTCACACACCTGCGAATTGCGGGAAGGTGGGTCCTTAAGAGGGTAAGGAAACGAACGCCGCGGTGTCCATGCGCAATGCGTTGTGCGGGCATTGTTAATCAGAAGTGCTCTTAGGAAAGCCTGCGTCGTGGTGTCAGTTGAGTAATCACCGTTTCGAAACAAATACTTGAAAGCGCTGTGGGCTTGCCAAGAGTGGCTGCAGTACTACCTGTTTGAGTCAGAATTCCGAAGAATTGCCAACTTGTTCTGCTGAGCTTCGCATATGCCATAGCCTCAAAATTGATTGTCAGGCATTGAGAGCAGGTATATTCCTCGTGTATATACCCCGTCCCATATCAGCAAGAGCGCGTTAGAACTGAAAATGCACGTCCTGTGTATTTAACAAATGATGGGAAGTCACACCGACGGGATGCCACTATAACGCATAGTATGATGTAAGTATGGCAGCTGGGCTCAAGTTTGAACAGCCTGCCATAAACTGTGCAATATGATATTGCGCAGTAAATCGCAATATACTGCAGAAATGGACACATGACTTGTGTGGTACCCGTGGTCCGGGGAATTGCATACTTTCAGTGGGGGGACATGACCTTGCAGAGCATTGTGTTTGTAGATAGTTTGTGAACTTTCTGACCCAAGGCGCGCTGTGTTGTGGAGAGTATCGGATTCAGTCGAGGCCAAGGGAGCAGATGAAATTTTCGCTGCGCCCGTTTTTCCCCATTCCCAGAATACTGATGGTCCAAAATTCAACAAGCGACACCGCGCAGCAAAGAAAGTTGGTGGCTCAAGCTTGTTGAAAATCCTTTGGAGTGGATAGCGGTAGCGATGGTACATCGCGCACTTTAACACCCTCCCACCATGTCAGCGTTGATGCATGTCAGGGCAAAACGATACATGGGATGGGAAAAAGACCAATTACGGTAATTATAGAAAATTTACCGATAATCATCATTGTGTGGATCATTAGTGCCTTGAAAGCGATGTTGTTGCGCGTATAGGGCCCATGACTGCTGTTGTGTGTTAAAAAGCACAACCAGACTTGGTTTTTACATTTGCGTTTCTATGTTTGTGTTTTAACACACCAAAGAAGGTACTTTGCCGGTACGTATTTAGGCATTTACTGCTTGCTGTGGCACCCAGGTTAGAGGGTGAAAATCGCGTGCAGTGATCATTCTCCCGTCCCTGAAGCACCCACAACACGGGGCTGTATTTACTTTGTACTTACCTTTTCTTACGCGTTTTTACGCGTGAAAACGGAAACACGAACAGTTTCTACAGCGCAAAAACCAAGATTGGGCAGAATGTTTCGGTGTTGTGTGCTGCAATTTCGGAAACCATAATGAACGAAGGGCATGCAGAGAAGACAATCCTTGGAATCTCGGACGAGAGTTGAAATGACATATTTGCGCGTGCAGGTTCAGCGAGTCAACCACAAAATTCTACGCAGCTCAGGTCTGCGCCTCATTCGAGTATCTGCACAGCATGAGCATAGTGTATCGGGACTTGAAGGTGAGCAATAGCACCCGCCGTAAGTCGTTCCCCGTGTAAATATGAGCAGCGGGCATGTGCGATTCCGTCAAAATGTCCGATAAGGTTCCATCAATTCAAAATTTATGCAATTTTGCGCAGCTTATCATGAGCAACTGATCCGGTGGTTATGTTTTTCGCTATTCAAGTCTATGTGGGGATAGCTGCTGAGCATCATGTACGTCAATACTTTCAAGCCCTCCTGAACATCGACTGTGCACCGATTCATGCGTCTTTGTGTACGTTGACCACAATGCGTGTGTGTGCGCGCGGGCGCGCGGGCGTGCGTGGGTGCGTGCGTGTGCGTGTGTGTCTCTACAATCTTCTTACCAATGTCTTCAGAGGCAACTTGTTTGTTCATTTCGGCTTTGTTGCCAACAGCCAGAAAACATGCTGCTGGACAAGAAAGGGGATTTGAAGATTACAGACTTCGGCTTTGCTAAAGTGATCAAGCGCCGGACATTCACACTCTGCGGCACTCCCGATTACCTGGCACCAGAGATCATATTAAACAGGGTGGGTGCTCCCCGAGTCCCAATGGCACCTACAGCGAGAAGATGGCTAAGTGACATTGAATTTGCACTGTAACGATGAATGCAGATGTCGCTTGTGCATTGAACTTTTATTAATTTCTACTGAATCCATTATGTCAGCATCTCGTACTTGCTCAAACGTTGTTGGCAATAAGTTCCCATACCCTACAAATGGTCATATGCTGCCATCATAGTATGATGATCATACTGGGGTCCCGAGTCTGCATATTCTGAACACGCACCGTTCATATTCAGGATATGATCCCCATATCCTATTCGATATATGTGCTTTCTGCCGCCGGTGAATTTGACTTTGCTTGCTGCATGCTCCACCTATTATTGGACAGAACAGTTGAAAAATATTGTGATACAGTGAGAACACCACAGCACCAGGGTCATACTGGTTTTCATTAAACTCAGGCTTGATCTTTACGGCGTGAACATTTTCCTATTTACAGCTATTGATGTGTATAATTTTTACGTTTTTGCGAGTAAACAGCCGGAAAATGGGTAAAAATGGGCCCTGTGTACTTAAATACAGTACATACTGACTCAGGAAGGCCGCGGAGTGGTAGCCAAGGGCGCTGAAGTGAGCGCAAAACGATCTTTTGCTCGGGAACGTTGTTGATCCAGACGTTGCGTTGTGTGTGCTTTGTTGCCAGCGCTGGAGAGAGTGGAGGATTGATCGTTGATTGGGAAGTCATCACGTAATCTGGGCGTGTCTACGTGCCGTAAATAGGCGTAAATGTGGCCGTAAAATGACTGTAGAAATGGTTATTTATCTGCTTACGCGGTTTTACCAGTAAAAACGTAAATGCAAAAATAAAGCCGTAAACGCAAAGACCAAGCCTCATTAAACTTGTATCTAATCCAATCCGAGGTGTGTGTATTCCATGTTGTAACACCATGAGACATAGATGGTAGAATCCTACCGACATATGAATAATGTATCTTTGCCACCATCTGCATCACTCTATCCCACTGCCAAACTGCCAGCGCTGGCACCAGCAGAGCATCGCATCATGAGGTCACACCTAGTCTTGCGGCCTATGCGATTCAGCTAGAAATAACTCTGATTGATGATTCAAAAGCAGTCTGGTCAACAGAGAGGTTCTTAAAATCACTGACTCGAGGACCTGGTCGGACCTGATCCACCTGAAACCAATTATTTTGCAAAGCAACTCTACAACATGGACGTGAGAAACAACAACTTCTTCGCTCTACATTTGCTTGGAATTCAATGAATTATCAGACTCCAGAACAGCTCCCTAAGGGCGTGCGGATGCCGGAAATATCCAACACAAACTGCAAGCATATGCGCAATATTGGAAGCCGCCCCCCAGCCAAAAATTGGGCAATGCGTTGCTGCTATGCGACGGCAAACATTTGTGACGTACAGGGGCGGAAAACGCAAGGACTGCACTGCCGAAATCAGGCTTGGGGTTCTATTTTTTGTGATCTTATGAGAGAAATGCTGTCGGGACCCAGACTGGGTGCCCCAGTAGTTCCCGCGGCTGCGCCTCTTTTGTTGATTCTTTTTGCTGATGACCAGGCTGCTGGAAAACATCCAAATTTTCTGGATGCATCTGGGCAGCCCTGCACAGAGTGTGGAGTGATACTCGTCGCGCACTTCGGCATAGTGTCAAATGCAACGAATGCTGTTTGATTTATGGTGTCCTGATTTGTTGAGGTTGCGGAAGCATTAAAATTTGAAGCATTGAAAATGTTGTGTAGGGACATGCCTTGGCAGTAGACTGGTGGGCTTTCGGAGTGCTCATATATGAAATGCTTGCTGGATATCCGCCATTCTATGATGATGATCCCATGAAGACGTACAAAAAGATATTGGCTGGCAAGCTTGAATTCCCTTCTCATCTGTCTGCAGTTGCCAAGGATCTAATCAAGAAGTTGCTTCAGGTGACATGATAGACGCACACGCCACCGCCACCACCACAGTCACCAATGTGGCACATATCCAAGCTGCAGTTGCGTATATTGCGGGGAAAACTCAGCTCACAAGGGATTTATTTTTGGATTGGTGCCTTATACCCACAACATCTTTACAGGGCAACGGAAAACTGTTGAGGCATTCACCAACATTACCACCATGCTGGTCGTCAAGGGATTCCAGCAAGTGGAAACCGTGCTGGTGTACCCTCATGTGCATGTGGTCCTGACAGCAAAATCTCGCACAAAGTGGAAAGAAGATTTGACAAAATGGAGCCAGAAACATAAGTGGACAAGGGGCATCACCAGCACGCAAATGACTCGCACATGCATCACTGAATGCAATTACGAACTAAATTTGAAGCATTACGATTGGCCTTACGTCGCAGGGCGACCTGACAAGGCGACTAGGAAATCTGGCGGGAGGCGTTTCGGACATCAAGAACCACGCGTTCTTTAAAGATATCGACTGGCCGCGCATATGTTCCAAACAGTTGCGCGCCCCAATTGTTCCCCTAGTGACGTCACAAGATGACACCTCCAATTTTGACGACTACTCCAATTTGCCCCCAATGGTGCACAACACCTGCCTATCTTCCACGGAGCAAATGCTGTTTCAGGACTTTTGAGGCCCGGTGGATACCCATCATGGCAGCTCGAAGCTAGCTCACAAACTGGCAAAAGCAATGCGTTTATGGGTGCACCCTATCCAACGGGGCCTGCGACAATTTCTGAGGCACAAATGACTTTTTTGGGTTTGTGGTTTAGGTGTGGGTTTGAAGCATGCATGCATCCTAGTGAGTATGCTCTGAAGGGGATCTGCAGGGTATGTCACTAGGGGATATAGTGCACACTAGGGTTGGAGCCCCGAAGTTGGCACCATGTTGTGTTGATGTTCTTAGGATAATTTCAGGGTTTGCGAGACACTCTTGTGCCTCTCGCTGGTGGATTTATCCATCAATTTCTGAAGAAACTTGAAAGGGAATCCTTCAAAGCACGAATATGCCATATTCAGAAGAAATGGAAAGCAAAGTCAGAATGGGACGGGGCTTGAGTTGACAATGTGATTTTTCTGTACTTTTACCTCCTAACTAAATTCTTATTAGTAGAATCTGTTACATTGAAAATGCCAGAGCGTGTTATCTGCATTGATATCATAGAGGGCCAACGTATGTGTGTATGTCCTGCATATGTTTGCACAAAGCGCTAGATGGAAGAAACACTCCAAGGGATTGCCAAGATGCTCTAAATGTATTACCACAGTTGCAGTACTTACTGCAAACATATTGGTATTCTGATATCATATAGTTGACAAAAATTTTGGTCGTTCAAATTTTGCGTACATAAAGATTATGGAATATTCTATGGAATTATCAATTCAAACTTAAATGACTTGGATGATTTTATCAAAGACAATTTTCATCCAAACATAACGACAAATCCATCACCGAAATTCTCAGCTTAGAATCTATCAATGTATTCTATGGACTGAAGCCTATATTTGAGTCATCGTAAATGCATAATGATGGTGAACAGTGAGTAGAGCAAGAAGATATCATATGGGGCATCCTTCAGCCAGTCCTTCTATGACATTCAGTCAGTCAATCAATCAATCAATCAATCAATCCATTGATTGATAAAATTGTGCATCAATTGATTTATCGATTGATCAATCAAACAATTATGAAATTGAACATTGAGACAAGGGGGCGGCCATCAGCTCCTCATATTCCAAGAGGACCACACTATTGACAACTTGTTTCATGGAAAGCAAGGCTCTTCAAATTCCCACAAAATGACCTATATTTATTGGCCACTAACTGTAAATATCAATACTGGTACATGGTATGACCCTTCAGGATATGCGCAGTGGAAGCAGGCATGCGTAAGCCAATCTCAGAACAAATTCACATAGGGGTGACACACCTCTTACACACATTGAGAGCTTTTGTACCACTGTACTGGTACATGGGGGTATAAACCCTCGGTATAGTTAACAAGGGCGACCCTACGGTGACCGGCCCCAGTGGGGCTATTGTCACCTTAGTGTAGGGTTAACGCCCTACTATACTGGGGTAGAGGTGGCCACCCGGATCCGTTAATAGTGGACAGAGGTTAATTTCCGTTAATTTTCCGTTAATTAACGGAAAATAACGAAAAAAGACAAAAATTAACCAAAAATTAACGGATTTTTGGATTTTTTGGGGATTTTTGGGTTTTATTCATACTTATATTTTATGGAATTCGCTATTAGAGAGTATGTTTGTATTTTATTTCAACCTATGCATACTAGTTTTTTAACTAGCCGCAGTTGTTGTGACATTTTGGGTTCGTTTTCGATTTTTTTTGGGTTTTTTTCGTTTTTTCTGAATTTTTCTCCCTTTTTCTTTAACGGAATTTAACGGACAGCTGATAAAAATTAACGAACCGGACTTAACGGACCGGATGGCATCTTTGAGTGGCCACCTCTACAGCCGTCCAAGGGATGTCCTTCTTTTGGCCCGTTAGGAATTATAGGCTATTGAGTTGGACTTCTTCGCTGATGAAAAACAGGTTGCTAGGGTCACAACTCTCCACAACGCCTTCGCAAGCATAATACTAGGCTTCAAAGTGGCAGATGTCATATCTGTTTTACTCACTTGGATCCAATACCTTGGTGATTCTAGCAATGTCAAAAACGCAGACTCAGGTGTCCGCATCTTCGTCTGCCATCCAAATGGCGATAATCACCCTGGGGGCAGCATTGTGCTCTGGTCAGAAAGGTCTCACGTTGGCAGGTTTTGGGGCCCAGTTGGAGTGGCCAAAGAATATTGCGCGCTTCCCTTGTACTGGGCCAATGTCTCTATAGAGTGGGCCGGTAGGTCTAGTCAACTAGATGTGATGTTGGGAGTCAGTACGCAACACTGATTCTCAAAGGCTGGCACTCATCACCAGGGGGCGAGTGGGAACAATTAGGTAGCCTGCAGTAATTTACTACCTAATTGGTTGTTAAAAGACCAAGATCCTAGAATGGCAGCTCTGGGGCTGAGACTTAACATTGACATTGAGCTCAAGGTTATATACCGTATTTACCCGGTATTAGTAGGCACCCCCTATTAGTATCCATCCCCCTCTTTGGGGGTCGAAGCCATATTAGTATCCATGACCCGGTGTTAGTATCCACCCCCAAACCTCAACAGAGCAGAAACAACAGAAGGCGCGGATGGTGGCAAGGGAAGTCGGGGGCTGGTGTTGGGTTGCATTGCCAAGTTTGGACCAAACCGCATTCCCTACGATTCGCACATCGACGGAGACGATCGGGTCGGGGTGGATGTTGTCGAGGGAGAATTTGGAAGGGTGTGGGCAAAAGGCTGCATGGTCGACTGGCCGCCGTTGGCATTCTTAGTGCAGGATTGCAAGGCAGCAACTGATGCCCCAAGGCCCGATGATAGAAGCGGTCGAGAACTCAAAGCTGCCCTGGTTTTTGGATTGAGCCAACCTGCTCCCTAGCCGGCCAGAGCAGGTTCCGGCCTGGTGCCTGCCACGGGCCCCCCAAGGCCCAGCGCCAGGAATGGGCAGGCGACAACATTGGTCTGGGCAACTGCCGTTGCAAGACCCCGCCTTGCAAAACTGGCCGCAAAGCGCTGCGAAGGTGGGGTAAAACACACGACTCACTGACTACTAGGCCACACACCCAATCACAGATCCCATCAGCCTTTCCAGCCATCATCAACGAGGGAAAACGCTGCCTGCCAAGCACCATCGCGACGTGGTGCCCCAGCGAGTTGAGACCTATATCAGGCCTTGTTCCTTGCATTGCAGAGGCAAATACGCCTTGAGCATTCCAACGAACTCCTGACGGCCCCAATCGCCAGTTGCCACTAGCTGGTGCAGCCCCAGGTCAAGGCCGCCAGCTCCTGTGAAGAGGCTGACAATATTCCACATTAGCATCGCCATTTTTGTCCATTTTTGGGCATTTCATGGCCTATCTATCAAAAATTTTCTTTTTCTACTCTTTGGAATCAGGGGTCCAAACCGCGTTAGTATGCATGACCCGCTATTAGTATCCACAACTCATTTTGGGGGTCCAATACATGCCTACTAATGCCGGGTAATACGGTATGTAGAGGCAGGGTGTGCATGCAGGGCGGATAGACCGACAGGCTGAAGGAATGCAAGTGCTGATGAAACAAAGTGGCGGAGGTGGCTTGTTATGCACAATGGCCATCACACCTTTCCGTTACAGGCCCAAGCTCAGTGGTGGGCCTCTGGCTAGGCATAGGCAAAAGGTTGTCCTCGTCCCTGTGGCCACACTCTGCCACCCTGAGGGATCCTCCCATCGAGTCCTCAGTGTCCCCGTTGGGGAAGGTGGACTTGTGGTCATCAGCAAAACTCTCCCACCACTATATAGCATGGACATAACGGCCCTTGAATTTGTTGGCAGGCCCCTCCTCGCCAGACAAACCCACCGCAGAGGCGAGCAGCTGCCTGAGCTTGGCAACGAACTTTAATGCCCTCTCCCGTATCCGGGATACATAACGGGAGGAAGCTTCTGACTCCTATCTGCCACTATGCCATTTCACCACCCGACGGCCTTTTCCCCTCGGTGCCCTTTATACCCTCCAATTCACAGAAAGCACAACAACATCTGCTGCCACACCAGGGGACCCACTTCATCCTCATGTGCTGCCCCGGCAGCAACGGCGGCTTCTTCCACTAGCCACTAGCTGGTTTGCCGCCAGCTCTTGCCGGTTCTCCCACTCCTGGATTTCAACCAAGCCGGTGGCCACCTTCGCTCTGAAGGCTAGCTTCACCTGCTTTTGCTCAGTGGACCATGTTCCTGCTTCCAGATTGTGTCCAATGCCATCTGCTAGCAATGCAAACTGCAGCGTGGTGTTAATGCTTTGAGGATGTCTGGCATTTCATCTTCCGAAGTCATGCCCTGGGGGAGGGCGCCCATCCTCCATCACATGGTTTGGGCCTTTACGCCCTAGCACCCATGCTCCACGCACGGTGCTGGACCGTCATAACCCCACTCTCCACAGTTGTTTTTGTGATCCCAGTTGCAACATGCTATGGTGCTGCTGCCATCCAAAACCCTTGTCGTCGACCTCCGCAATTGCAAATGTTCCCACATAAGCATTCTGAAGAGGTTGAATACGGTTTCGCGATTGCGCAATTGCAAGCAGCATGCCCCACTGTAGTGTTCATGGACTCCCAATCAACACACATGGGAACAATCACAAATTGCCATCAAGGCTCGCAGCGGTTCCACGATCACGGAACCGCAATGGCCCCCGGACAATTCCCCCAAAAGATTACAATGAGTCAGTCCAAGAGTCAACCACGGTTTTGCGATCGAGGAATGGCATTAGGCTCCCACCCATGCATTATCCTTCGAGTACCAATATACATCATCGAATTCAGTTGTCCCCTTAGCTTGTATTCCTATGGTTTCTAGATCACAGAATAGCATACAACGGTTCAGCAATTGCGGAACCGTGGTGGGCTCTGGACAGTTTCTGCCATAGATTGCAAGGAGTCCCTTAAAGAGCCAATTGTAGTTCCGTGATTATGGAACCGCTATTGGCTCTTATCCAAGTGCTGTTGTCCAAGTCCATACATGCATTGTCCAATTCAGTTGTCCCCT